ACCATTAGGTCCAGTCGTGACCGACTCTGGGGTTGTGGCACTCATTTTGCTTTATTGGCTGAGGGAGCCAGTGTACAGCTTCCGGGTCATGTGGCCAGCATGACTAAGCCGCTTCTGGCGAACCAGAGCAGCGCACGGAAACGCCGTTTTCCTTCCCACCGGAGCGGTACCTATTTATCTACTTGCACTTTGACGTGCTTTCGAACTGCTAGGTGGGCCGGAGCAGGGACCAAGCAACGGGAGCTCACCCCATCGCGTGGATTCAAACCGCCGACCTTCTGATCGTCAAGTCCTAGGCTCTGTGGTTTAACCCACAGCGCCACCTGCATCCCTATTGTGACCTACTTCAACACAAATACAAATCTCCTGCATTTATTTCTATGGTTCAACCCCTCATAGAACTGTGGCCATCATGTTACTGTGTCCGCTATTCCATCATTTTGTTTGGTTATGTTCTCATGGACTTCAAAGTGGAAAACTCGTAGAGATTCAGCTGAAGCCATTTACATCAGCTGAAACCGTCAGATTGAAACGATACTGCAGATATGGTCAGATAGCAATGGAAATGTGTAGCCGTACATTCTATCTCATTCCAGAGCTCTATAGCAGCTCAGAGAACCTTATCAGGAGGTGTTTACTGTGATTGCAACTCAGTGTTATCTTTGTCTACCCACACAGGGTGTGACTGCATTCTTCAGACAGTGGATGACTTAGAGTTATCTCTGGGAGATTCTTCCACGGAACATTCCAAGCCTAGATAACAATAAATTAAACACAAAACAAAAATGAAGCCCTATCTTGCTGGGGAATCTACTGTAACTCAAGGCAGGTGGTCTTATAGTGCAGTCAGAGACTGGGTCATTGAATCCGATCAACAACCCATGTAGTAAAGGGCTGAATGAAAGTGGCCTCAAATTTCCCACTCAATTTGCAGCCAATGAAATCGGGGAAGCAATTTTGCCAAATTTTCTCCAGGGGGTGGTGAGAAATTAAAATGGAAGATTTCTGCAGAGCTACAGGAATTGTAAGAGGAGCAAAGGGGGAGGGAAGACAACAGCTTCATATTATACAGATAAATATAAGCTTTCTTGAGCTTGCAGGGAGAAGACACATGGAGCATTAAAAAAGAGGAGGGGGGGAATGAAACCCTGATGGATTACATGAATATTCAAGTTGTTTTCAGCAAAGATTCTTTGACTTTGGTGCTATTTTACAGTTACAAGGTTTGTGCGTTTTCTTGCTGTCAAACCCTTTGCCGTAATTGTCCAAAAGTTTCTTGATTATCCCTAACAAAACTGTCAGCTGGCTTTGAAGTATCAGAAGAGTCTCATCATGCTTTATGAAATAATAAACATCATTTGCAAATGCATCGGTGATATAGACAACATGCCAGCAGGAACGTCAAATGAGAGGAGAAGTTTTCGCAAAGAGATACTCTACGGCGAAGATGCTGTTCTGCCACTGAAATCTCTGAGTTGTGAGGAGAAGGGTTGCTTTTGAGGCCGCCAGAAGTTTTCAATATTACTGCACTCAGTGATGGGGGGTATGCAATGCGTATGAAGAGCTTCCTGCTTATCAGCTGGTCACACTGGGCTTGGGTGGGTGGCTCCTCAATCCTAGTAAAGTGTAGTGGTTAGAGCACAGAGGACTCAGATCATATCCCCACTCCCTACTGCAATTCTGGGCACAGGAAGGAAACAAGGTCAGAAAAAGGTTGGGAAACACTGGTCTAGGTTGCAAATAGTGATACCCATATTGTGCCTATCTCAGAAGCTGTTGATGTCTGTGTGCATACAGCTACTCCATATAGCATATACAAATACCTTCAGGCCCTGGGCTAATTTTGCCCAGCAAGGCTGGTCATTGGTTCTTCCTGGACAGGAAGGAACATAAAATGGCTTTCTGCATCAGTTAAAGCCTTGCGTAAACAACAATGTCCTTCCTGGGCTGTAAAGTCTTATCCTCTACTTTTTATTTTTTTAATTGTTCAACACTTTTTACAAAGTGCCTGAAACTGACTTCCAAAATATTAAGACACACAACAATGTATTGAACATTCAAAATCCATAACAGAATATGCCTGACAATAAATGTTGGAAATGTAATGAGACTGAAGGTACATTCTTTCACCTTTGGTGGACATGCCCAAAGATTAAGACATTCTGGGAGTGGGAGATGATCTATAACGAAATGAAAAAGGTATTTAAATATACCTTTCTGAAGAAACCAGAGGCCTTTCTCCTGGGCATGGTTGGCCAATTGGTGTCAAAGAAGGATAGAATTTTTTTTATGTATGCAACAACAGCAGCAAGAATACTCATTGCGAAGTATTGGAAGACACAAGATTTACCCACTCGGGAAGAATGGCAGATGAAGTTGATGGACTATATGGAATTGGCGGAAATGACTGGCAGAATCCGAGACCAGGGAGAAGAGTCGGTGGAAGAAGACTGGAAAAAGTTTAAAGACTATTTACAGAAATACTGTAAAATTAATGAATGTTAGGAAAATGTTGGAATGAAGTTATATGGCTTTAGTAGAAATGTTATAAGGAATTAAGTATAAATAGATTAATAGAGTATTAAAGGGAAAAATAAGGTTAGAATGTGTTAAGATAATTAAAGGATAGAAAGCAGAGGAAGATGGAAAGGAATTGCTGAAACAATTAACAGAAGTGGAATACAAAAAGGGAGGTGTGAGGAGGTCATTGAAATAAGTGAATGAAAGATAAGATATTGAAACTGTTTGATGTGTTTTAAACTGTTTTTGTTTTGTTTTGTTAGTTTAATGTGTTAGTGTTATGTATTGTTTTTGTATTGTATTGTATTGTTTATTTTTTTCCTGTAGTGTTTAAATTGTTGGAAAAGTAATAAATATTATTAAAAAAACAAAACAAAATCCGTAACAGAATAAAAGAATAATAAGTGTTCATTCATCAACAAGAATAAAAAGTAGAAATTCCACCCCACTCCACTAAAAGGAGGCACACCAAAACAGGTCAGAATCATACTATATTAATATCAACTTGTGATCCCAAAGCCTGTATAAACAGGAGTATTTTTGCCCGACATCTAAATGCTGACAATATATAAACAGTGATGAAGAATGATACCATTGGTTTTGCGCTTTGCTGCTTTCCTGTGGCAAAGTGACGAAGAGAGATAAACAACTTTTGCATTGGAGTGGGGAACCGCCAGGTCCTCTTGGGTTTCCTCTATTCCCCCCCCCCCCCCCGCGGCCAGCATGACCAATGATAAAGGATGATTGTAGCCTAACAAATATCTGGAGAAATATTCTTTTCCTTTCTACACACACACACACACACACACACACACACACACCATTGATTGGCCTGTTATTTTAGTTGCGATGTTGACACTTCCATTTTGAATATTAGCAGCAAACATCTCCCCATCATAATTGAGCGCATATTTCCCCCCAGAAACAGCAGACAAAATTGCTTAATCACCAGCCAATAAAATATTCAAAGCAAGTCAAATGTTTTTGTGAGAAACTTTTACTTTTACTGAAGCCTGAAGTGCCATTCAAGTGCTGGAGCTTCCACAGAAGAGCAATTAGCTCTGAATTAGTAAAGTCTCCTTCTAATTGCTTCCAGGTGTGACACATTTTGTACTTAAAACCAGGGATGAGAATCACATCTCTTCCTCCATACGCCCCCTTCTATATTTGTGCTCAGAGCGGGGATTCACAGGGTCTTCTTGACAGCTTCATGTGAACATTTGCTTACTATTGTTTGGTTCTTCAAAATGTGTCAGGGACTAATATGTCAGGGACAAGCTGGATACTGAAGAATGGTGGCTAGATTCTGATGGGTGGGCACCGGGAGAGGGTGGGGTTGGAGGCTGACTTTGAAGAAGGGACCCGTGATCTGGGGGAGCCAATAATAATAATAATAATAATAATAATAATAATAATAATAATTTATTTGTACCCGGCCCATCTGGCTGGGTTTCCCCAGCCACTCTGGGTGGCTTCCAACAATGATTAAAAATACATTAAAATGTCACACATCAAAAACTTCCCTGAACAGGGCTGCCTTCAGATGTCTTCTAAACGTCAGGTAGTTGTTTATCTCTTTGAGATCTGATGGGAGGGCGTTCCACAGGGCGGGCGCCACTACCGAGAAGGCCCTCTGCCTGGTTCCCTGGAGCTTTGCTTCTCGCAGTGAGGGAACTGCCAGAAAGCTCTCAGTGCTGGACCTCAGCATCTGGGCAGAACGATGGGGGTGGAGACGCTCCTTCAGGTATACTGGGCCGAGGCTGTTTAGGGCTTTAAAGGTCAACACCAACACTTTGAATTTGCTGTAACAGCCAGGAGACCAGAGTCAGAGTCAGGAAAAGCTGCAGAATTGGTGGAGGAGGAATGAGAGATAGGACAGTCTGGTGTAGAGTCAAGAGTTTCCACACTCCTCCTCCTGCCCCCATCTCTCCTAGCTCCCCTGACTCCTAAGACCATAAGAGGATGGAAATGGGAGAAGCAGAAAGTTACAGACAGGCAGTGTCTGCACCTGCTTGCTCGCAGCTCCGGTGGGGAAGATACATAAGCCGAGGTTGGGGGCAGAGGCGGAACTAGCTGATCTGGCACTTCGGAGTGGTGGGGGCCATGGGGGCGGGGTGAGTGTCCCAGAGGGCGGTGGGGAGAGAGCCGCACCGCTTTGCCAACAGCCTTACTCCCTTCCATCTTTCTTTTGATAGCTCGGGGGAGGTCCCCCCCCAGGAAGCAGCCCAGGAGTGGGGGTTGGTATCTCCCAAGCTTCTCCTGAGCTGTGAAAATGAAGGGGGAAGGGGGGCAAGGCCTCCGGCAAGGCGGTGTAGCTCTTCTCCTTCCCCCAACAGCTTGGTGTAGGCTTGGGAGTCACGGGCAGGTGGCGCACCGAATGTCACCCCCCTCAGTGATGACACCTGGGCCGCACCACCCCTTCTCTGCCCCTGGTTGGGGGTGGGGCCTGTCTGTTGCTGCAACTGCCTCATTGGATGCTCACCTAGGAGTAGCACAGTTGGTAGATCATGAGATTCTTAATCTCATGGGTTGTGGGTTCAAGTCTCATGTTGGGCAAGAGATTCCTGCATTGCAGGAGGTTGGACTAGATGATCCTCATAGTCCCATCTCACTCTACGATTCTATGACATAGGACTGAGAGACATGACTTTCCTAACTTGAAAGTGTACTTTTGACAACAACAACAACAAATTTTATTTATACCCCGCCCTCCCCAGCCAGAGCTGGGCTCAGGGCAGCTAACACCAATAAAATCACAGTAAAAACATAATAGGGGGGAAAGAGGAAGAAAAAAACAAACCCAATTTAAAATACAGGTTAAAATGCAATTTAAAATGCAGCCTCATTTTAAAAGTAGCCCATAGATCAAAACCATAAGGGGAAGGAAACATAAGGGTCAGACTGAGTCCAAACCAAAGGCCAGACGGAACAGCTCTGTCTTGCAGGCCCTGTGGAAAGATGTCAAGTCCCACAGGGCCCTAGTCTCTTGTGACAGAGCGTTCCACCAAGTCGGGGCCAGTACTGAAAAGGCCCTGGCCCTAGTTGAGATCAATAGAGAGTTAATTCCTCATTCTGGACATTCCTCGCCTGTCATGGCCATGACGTCATCATCTTCATCATGGTCCAGTCTAAGTGAAAACAGACCAATGTGAACCACATTGAAAAATCTTATTTGTGCATATAGCGGAGGAAGGGAAATAAATTTAATATTTATTTGGTAGTAAGTCCCACTTCCCTCAATGGGACGTACAATATTCTGACAAATATTAGCAGCTTTGGGTTTGATAGAACACTAGAAAGTTATAAGTATTGCAAACATCTACACACCTATATAGGCACACCCTTGACATTTCCCCTGAGGTCGTTTCTTAATATCTAACGGCTTCTCTGAGTTCCCAATTACTCTTTGATGAATGTCACACCAGAAGTGGAAGCTCTAGATGTCTGCCAGTTTGGTTCATGATTCATTAGCAGACCGAACAGCAAAAGATCTTCCAAAAGATAGCCAGCCTTAATTCCGTATCAAAGATGTCTGGAGATCCTGTAAAAAAGATTTTAAATGCTTATCTGAAAGAGCAACACCAAAACGTTTGAAGTACCGTCAACCGTCACTGCTAGTCAAAGATCTCTTTTCAAATGGCAAAGCAGAACCCTTTACAGAAGAAATGGATTATTCTAAGTTGCTAAGCAGCTGCCTTTAAGATAATAATCTTTTCCTATGTGGTTGACATAGGAAGCTGCCTTAAACAAAGTTACTATGTTTGTTCACCTAGCCTAGTAGTGTCTTCTCTGACTGGCAGCACCTCTCCAGGGGTTCCAGTGCAGGTCTTTCCCCTCATGGTCTACCCAGTGATACCATACCAAGAATTGAAACGGAGGTCTTCTGCATGGAAAGCATGTGCTCTTAGCATGTAGGCTGCACACACATGACCATTTACTCTGTGCACTCCCAATGCTTATACGTGAATCCACATACAGATGTTACCCATGAAGAAGAAGAGGAGTTTGGATTTGATATCCCGCTTTATCACTCCCTTTAAGGAGCCTCAAAGCGGCTAACATTCTCCTTTCCCTTCCTCCCCCACAACAAACACTCTGTGAGGTGAGTGGGGCTGAGAGACTTCAGAGAAGTGTGACTGGCCCAAGGTCACCCAGCAGCTGCATGTGGAAGAGCGGAGATGCAAACCCGGTTCACCAGATTACGAGTCCACCGCTCTTAACCACTACACCACACTGGCTCATGATGCAGAGCTAGCCTGTAGTTTCTTGAAAAACGCTGCAGTTTGATGTGGTTTTCCTCAAACCAGCTTCAGTCTGAAAGGAAAATGTAAGCCACATTCACTTTAAGATGAGGTGTGTATGTATATGTGAGACAGCTCTGTGCATGCTGTTGTTATTTCATTATTCACTGAGTATTTGGAACACTAATAATAATAATAATAATAATAATAATAATAATAATAATTTATAACTTATACTCCACCCATCTGGCTGGGCTCCCCCTGCCACTCTGGGCGGCTTCCAACAAGAGATTAAAAATACATTAAACAGTTCTTATTTCTCCACCCCCTCACACAATTTTCAAGGCAGGGGTTCCTCTTTCTTGATACCTGATGAAAAACTTCTGGAACTGTCAGAGGAGGAGGAGGTGGAGCACGTTGCAAAAGCTTTGGGGCTTAAACTGTCTCAGAAATCTCCTCAGCAAAGAATCCCCCAGTCCTAAAAGCTGCTCCTCAAAGAGCAACCATGGCCACAGCTCAGCTTCTAGGTATCTCACCAGAGCTTACACCACACAGGTAGGGCAATGAGGTGGAAAAGAGAAGGGGGATCCTGCACCTTCAATAAGTTGTGTAGAATAATTGCCATGTGAGCTAAACCAATGGACATTCCCTCTTCCTTGCAACTATTAAAGGTGTAGTAACCCTCCCCTCTTTTTCACCTGACTGCTCCATGTTGTTGTTGTTTAGTTGTTTAGTCGTGTCCGACTCTTCATGACCCCATGGACCAGAGCATGCCAGGCACTCCTGTCTTCCACTGCCTCCCGCAGTTTGGTCAAACTCATGTTTGTAGCTTTGAGAACAGTGTCCAACCATCTCTCTTTTTTTTTTTATAAGATATTTATTAAGATTTTCAAAATATTACAAAAGAAAAATAGAAAAAAGAAAAACACAAAAAATAAAAATAGTTAAAAACAACTCAATCTTTCCATTACTTATTTTTCATTAGCTTGTTTCCCGGACCTCCTCACGCCTCCCTTTTTTGTGTTCCAGTTCGGTTTGTTGGTTCAGCAAATCCTTCCCCTCTTTGTCTATCCTAATCATTAATCTTAAAATATTGTAACATTAAATTTTTACCTGTTAGTAATCCATTTTTCATATTCCCTTATAGTATTGCAGCTAAAAACCACTTAATTTCTATCCAACATCATTCTAACATTCATTAATTTTACAATATTTCTGTAAATAGTCTTTAAATTTCTTCCGATCTTCTTCCACCAACTCTTCTCCCTGGTCCCAGATTCTGCCAGTCATTTCCGCCAGTTCCATATAGTCAATCACCTTCATCTGCCATTCTTCCAGAGTGGGTAGATCTTGTGTCTTCCAATACTTTGCAATGAGTATTCTTGCTGCTGTTGTGGCATACATAAAAAAAGTTCTATCCTTCTTTGGCACCAATTGGCCGACTATGCCCAGGAGAAAGGCCTCTGGTTTCTTCAAGAAGGTATATTTAAATACTTTTTCAATTCATTATAGATCATCTCCCAGAAAGCCTTAATCCTTGGGCACGTCCACCAAAGGTGAAAGAATGTACCTTCAGTTTCTTTACATTTCCAACATTTATTATCGGGCAAATGATAGATTTTTGCAAGCTTGACTGGAGTCATGTACCACCTGTATACCATTTTCATAATATTCTCTCTTAAGGCATTACATGCCGTAAACTTCATACCTGTGGTCCATAACTGTTCCCAGTCAGCCATCATTATATTATGTCCAACATCTTGTGCCCATTTAATCATAGCAGATTTCACCGTTTCATCCTGAGTATTCCATTTCAACAGCAAGTTATACATCTTTGACAAAATCTTAGTTTTGGGTTCTAACAGTTCTGTTTCTAATTTCAGTGTCCAACCATCTCGTCCTTTGTCATTCCCTTCTCCTTGTGCCCTCAATCTTTCCCAACATCAGGGTCTTTTCCAGGGAGTCTTCTCTTCTCATGAGGTGGCCAAAGATCTGTCCTTCCAGTGAGCACTCAGGGCTGATTTCCTTAAGAATGGATAGGCTTGATCTTCTTGCAGTCCATGGGACTCTCAAGAGTCTCCTCCAGCACCATAATTCAAAAGCATCAATTCTTCGGTGATCAGCCTTCTTTATGGTTCAGCTCTCACTCCCATACATCACTACTGGGAAAACCATAGCTTTAACTATATGGACCTTTGTCAGCAAGGTGATGTCTGCTTTTTAAGATTCTGTCTAGGTTTGTCATCGCTTTTCTCCCAAGAAGCAGATGTCTTTTAATTTCATGACTGCTGTCACTGTCTGCAGTGATCATGGAACCCAGGAAAGTAAAATCTCTCACTATCTCCATTTCTTCCCCTTCTATTTGCTAGGAAGTGATGGGACCAGTGGCCATGATCTTAGTTTTTTTATGTTGAGTTTCAGACCATGTTTTGCGCTCTCCTCTTTCACCCTCATTAAAAGGTTCTTTAATTCCTCCTCACTTTCTGCCATCAACGTTGTGTCATCTGCATATCTGAGGTTGTTGATATTTCTTCCGGCAATCTTAATTCTGGTTTGGGATTCCTCCAGTCCAGCCTTTCGCATGATGAATTCTGCATATAAGTTCATGGATCACTGCCCTGTCATGGCGAAGGGGCTTGAATAACTCAGAGAAGCTATGAACTATGCTGTGCAGGGCTACCCAAGACTGACAGGTCATAGTGGAGAATTTTGACTAAAAGTGACCCACCTGGAGCAGGAACCAGCAAGCCACTCCAGTATCCCTGCCAAGAAAACTCCTTAGACAAAGACAACCCATACACTGCCCCATACACAAGGTCACAATTTGCTTTCCCTGGTTCTTAGTTTTCAAATCACACTGCTTGGTATTTCTGTTTAACTGCTCTTGCTAATATTTTTATGGGAATTTAATTTTGATATTATGTGTTTCTGCTTAGAAATTTGGTTATATTAAGCAGCAAAAAAGTGGTATGCTCCCATGGGTGCCCTCGGGGGCTGGGCCCCAATTCTAGGAAGGTATAAGCAGCGAAGGGACACGGGTGGCGCTGTGAGTTAAACCACAGAGCCTAGGACTTGCTGATCAGAAGGTCGCGGTTCGAATCGCCGCGATGGGGTGAGCTCCCGTTGCTCGGTCCCTGCTCCTGCCAACCTAGCAGTTCGAAAGCACGTCAAAGTGCAAGTAGATAAATAGGTACCGCTCCGGCGGGAAGGTAAACGGCGTTTCCGTGCGCTGCTCTGGTTCGCCAGAAGCGGCTTAGTCATGCTGGCCACATGACCTGGAAGCTGTACACCGGCTCCCTTGGCCAAGAAAGCGAGATGAGCGCTGCAACCCCAGAGTGGGTCACGACTGGACCTAATGGTCAGGGGTCCCTTTACCTTTATAAGCAGCGAAGGCAAATGGGACAGTGCTACACCAGCCTAATTCTGACCTCAGAAACATGCCACCTGTTTGCCTTTTTACTTACAAGCAACTCTTGCTGTTTGCTTCTTCCTCCTAAGTCCCAGTTTTGCACCCTTGCAGAACTCAGTGGGGAGGAGGAGGAGGAGGAGAAGAAGAAGAAGAAGAAAGCCAGAATTAGTTGACTCTGCCTGTCATTAGCTCTGCCTGCCATGTACTTTGAGTCTACCTACCAGTAGCCTCCTAGCCTTCCACCCTACTAATCCTAATGGGCACCAGGCACCACTTGGTACAAGTCTCCAACTCAAGAAGGAAAGCAGGGGTGATGAAGTGGCACAGACCAAGACAAACGAGGGCTACAAACAGGGAATTGGTCCAAAATATGATCCAAATGCAAGTTCAGGCAGAAAGTCAAGGTCATCACAAAGCAGCCATGGGAGCCAAGGTTCAGGATGGAGGAGCCAGAAATATGTGTCCCCACCAACTGGGAGGCTCAAAAAGAAGAGTTGATGCACTCTGGCCTCCCAGGGCACACCCTAACCAGAGCTGCTGGTAATGATGGTGTTTCACGGATTCCTTGATCTCAAGGAGACTGCTGCTTGAGGAGCCCTTTAGTCCCAAGGTGCATGAGTATTCGGGGTCTGCAAGCAGGTACTATGTTGACCCAGGGCTGGACTTTTTGATGCTGGCATCCTTGAAGGCATCAGCCTTTGTCTCTGGTAGGGCTAGGATTTATTCAGCAGGTCTTTCCCCCGAGGGCCTCTCAAGGGGTTCCTCAAGGCCCTTAGTCTGCGGGTTGGGCAGTTTGTCGTCTGAGGACTCTGTTTGGTAGTGGGTCAGGGAGAGACTAGAGCTAGCCTGGCTCAGTCTTTATGACAATAAATTATAAAGATACATGAACAGAATAAAACAAGAACTTTGAAGACTCCCCCACACTACAGCCAAGTTTTGTTGTTAGACGACGTATGTCTGTGTCACAGCAGGGATCAATATTTAGGAGAGACATTCCTTCTTTAGTGAGAGCAATGGGGAAGCTTCTTCCTTGATGGGCCCTGCAATGTACAGCTTTTTTCCAAGAACATATATTTCAAGTAAGTTAAAGCATTTTTGTTATTTTAAAAGGCATGTTGCTCAATAAATCGAGGGAAACCAGTTTAGTTGAGCCAAAGATTTGAAATGGTTAATCGAAAAGTTTTGTTTGTTCTGTAGTTAACATCTCTTTTTCGTGTTTCTGGGTTTTTAGATTTGCAGTCAACATCCTTGTCAATTTGGTTTTTTTAAAAAATAAACAAATCTCAGTAACCCAAACATAGACAGAAATTCCCCTGAAAGCCTCTTATGGGAAAGATGGCAAGGGAGGAGAGAGAGGATTCAACCGAGGCTCTTGGGGGGGGGGGAGAGGAGTGTTTTGATTTGTAGCGATGAATAGGTCTTTTCCATGCTTCTGTGACCCAGAGAAGATGCTGATCTTCCAGAGGTGAGGTCTCTTTTATTGCACCATGTGCACCATCATCCTGAATTGTAGCCCTTGTTGTTGTTCTTGCTTTGTGAAATCATGATGACTAGGCAAAGCCTTTCTCACCTCTTCCTCCCCTGGGTCAAGGCAAGAATGTTGTGCTGCAAACACCAGCTAAACAACCCGAGCTGACATTTTATAACGTGTACAAAAATGTTTATATTAGGGGAACGTGTGCATGTAAATACATACATTTTAAGTGATGATAACATACAAAAATGCATTATATTAAGGAAATTTGCTTATAACAATGTGTATATTAAGAGAAATGTTTCCTAAAATGCAGACAAATTTGTGTGACTCTTCTTCCTTTAAAAATCATAATTTGATGTGAATAACTGAATTTAAGATTAGAAAAATAAGAAAACGAGGAAACCCAAAAATAACAGATTAGGCCGAGATAACAGTGAAGGGCGAGATGTTTTTTTAAAAGAAAAGTCCACATTTAAAGGCAAATTTGCCAAATTTCCACTGTCTGAAACAAAATATCCTTCCAAATCTGCCTGTTTCTGAATTTTGTAACGGAGTTCTCCTTCCAACTAATACGTACTAAAATGCATATACTATAAATATATTAGTAAAAAAATATGCCGTATAGTTGGACAAATTGTTTTGCAAAAATGTGCATGCAAGCGTGTCTTTATTGGGAGAGATTAAAACTGAAATTCTTATGAATTTTCATGCAAAGTTGTTTTTTTTAAAAAATTTGCAGCCTGATGTGAAAGTGTGGAGAGGCAAATTTAAGACTGAAAAAGTGAGAAGACGAGAGAAATCAAAACTGACATATTCTCCACCAATCCCATGGGGCATGTCTGCCATTTTTGCACCACTATGTTTTCTTCTCCCTTGCTAGGTTATACTTCTATAGGTTACATGGAGCTATTTTACATTGGTGTAGCAGCAACAGCAACACCCCACCTTCCCCTTATCCAGCATAACGAGTTCAGATTGCAATCACATCTAGGTATGTGTGCAATCATGCTGTTAACATATGCAGCTTTGATCTGGCATTATTTCATTTTGGACTGTATGTCTCCTTACAGATATTTTAAATAAAAATAAATAAAAAGAATATAAGCTAGTAAAACACACACACAATATTATCTAGAACTAAGTCTGCAATCCTTCAGAGTTGCAAAGCAATTCTAAACTTCCTTTGGGCGAGGTTGGGGACGAGTTGGATGGGGCAGAGGTGTCTCTTTGCCAACCACTGTCAACCTTCACCAGTCTCTGCCTATGGAGTGATGCCAGCACAATGCCCTGCCCCCTGCCCGCCTTCCATTTCCATAGGGTAGTTCGGTAGGTGGAAACTGTGCCACTGAGCTACCCACTTGAAGCAATCAGCAGAAAGCCGTGAAATGAAGTGTTCTGGAGAGGGAGGGGCTGAGATGGCCTGCAATCCATTGGTTCCTTGGGTGTTATGTGACATCATCAGGCCTGATGGCTGTGCAACTGCCCCCCTCCACCCTGGCTGGAAATCTGAGCAGAGCTGCAGATGCAGCCACTCCATTAGATCCTGCCAGGCAGTGGCTGGGGCCAGGATTGTACCCCAAATCTCATTTAACTTAGTGGGACTTGGAATCAATATACACAGGCTGGTTCTGCACATCCTGCAATAGGATGAAGGCTGCCACATTACATTTTAAAATAGTAAAATATCCCTAAAGGTCTTCATTTTCCATTAAAAAAAGCAATCAATTTAAAACAAACAAACAAACAAACTTCTGCAGTGTCTAACGTAATAGGTGGGGTTTGGTAGTGAGTTTGTCAGCAGCATAAAAGCCACAAAGGAAAGGGACTTAAGGACATTAATAACTGCTTAGCAATCTTCAGTGAAGCATAAGAAGCAGTTGAATAAGTAACAGCAGCTGAGACAACTAGGAAATTGCAGCCAGAAGATCAGATTTAATAAGGCCTGGTCTACACATGCAGAGGAATGAAGGGGTAGAGCCCATACCCTCACACCTTGCACAGGTGGAAATGAGGTCAAACTTGTGACACCCCTATTTTTCATACCAAGGATCACTGCCCAAGACACACTTCCCTCCAACCCCCTCCATACCTTATGTGTTGCTGTATTCTTACTGTCCTATGAGCCAAGACGTTTGGTGGTCTTTAGATTAAGAAACATGAAAACTGAAATTGTTATTGGGGAAGCTTCTACCACCACCACTGTTTCCCTGACTTTGAAGTTGCTGTCCTGTGAGATTCCTTGTGAGCAGGAACGTTCTCTCCTTAAGTCGGGGATGGAAACGTGTTTTCAGTTCAATGGCCACATTCCCTTTTGGACCATCTTCCAGGGACCACATGCTAGTCGTGGGTGGAACCAGCAGATGGATGAATACAAATTTTATCTTTTGTGCAGTGGGCCAGTTTCTTCACTCTTGCACCCTGCTCTCTATTATCCACCCAGGCACTCACAAAGCATGATTAGCATTAAAGGACACATTCTAGCCAGGCAAAAACACTCAAGGATGGTGCAAAGCAGAGCCAGTGATGAGTGTGGTTTGGGGGAAGGAGCTGGGAAGAGCCCCGAGGGTCACAGAGAGATTCCTGGAGGGTTGCCTCCCGGGTCTGAAGTTCCTTATGCCTGCTTTAAGTCCACAAGTCACCATCAGCTGGACTTCACCCTGTCTTTATTGTGAACCTTGCCTTAGAAATCTATAGCATGGACCTCAGCTGGTTAGAAGGGTGAGTGAGAAAACTTCAGAGCAAAAGTTATATCACTCCAAAGATCTGATTTAAGAAAAAGACAGGTTACAAAAAATGAAGAAATATTGCTTGCCTAATTCATATCTACTTGAATTAAATCATAAAGATGTGAAAGTGAAGTGCATTTCTACAGGTCAAGGGCCTGGGTTCCATCTTGTGGCCTTTGCACAAGTTTTCCCAAGTGACAGTGGTGAATGCATCTTTGAAATTATCCATTTTTATGTTGATTCCCAGGAGGGAAAGTAGCAGAAACCAAAAAATGAGAGGGAAGTTGCGGAGGGTTGATCTCTTAGGGCAACTGCAACATCACCCCACCTGTCTAGATCTGCCCTCACCCAGACTTCGTTCTTACAACCAAGTCCAGCGTGTTGCAGCAATCCCTGCCAACTTCCTTTCCCTTCGTCTCAGTGTTGTTATTGTAGAACTCAGCAGAGAGGAGGATGGGGACAAAAGTAGAATTAATTGGCTCACTTAAGATATCACTGAGGAAATGACTCCATGGCAAAAAAATGGATTTTTCCCCCCAAAGGGAGAAAAAGGTATGGGTTTTGCTCTGTTACAGTTCCATAATTAGGGATGGATGAATCTCCCATTTCCAGTTTCCAGTTTTTCCAGCCTTATGTACAGTTTGCTACATTTCCACACCAGTTTGGAAGATCTATTTAAAAGTTGGCAAAAAATATTTCTCTTTTAATGCACAGCTTTGCAAATAACCACATTTTGTATATAGTTTTGCCCAACTTAATGCACTTTTATACATTATTTGCAGTAATATACACATTTTTGTGAGCATTTACCCATGTATACTTTTTATACAGCTGTACCTGGGTTTTCGAACAGCTTAGTTGTCAAACAAATCGGCTCCCGAACGCCACATACCCGGAAGTAAAGTGAACGTCTGACGCAGCTTCTGCTTGAGTTCAGGAAGCTCCTGCAGCCAATCGGAAGCTGTGCCTTGGTTTTCGAATTGTTTCGGGAGTTGAACGGACTCCTGTAATGGATTAGGTTCGAGAACCAAGGTGCCACTGTAAGTGAATTGTAAAAAAATTGGAGGGGTAGATTTTAAAGGATAGTCATGTTTCAGAGTGTGTGTATTGGTTTGGAAAGTGTAAATTGCGTCAGTTTGCATTCAGATATAAGCCACACAAATTTCTCCTCCATATTTCCACAACCCATTGAGAACTCTTCAAAATAAACCTCCCTAGGACTGGGTAGTAAATGAATGAGTTAAATCTTAAATTCAATTTTGGAGAAGAGATGGAATCGCTGTTTGAATATTTTCAGGTCCAGTATTATTATTTTTTATCAGACTTGTTAAGACCACCAGGATCAGTATGCCGAGATCTTTCACAGTTTGAAATTAGAAAGTTAGAGGGGGCAAAATGAGACATCTATTACCACCAGCGGGAAGCAGGCATTTTTACACAGAGGAAGGAAGTTGGCCTAGGATATATATTAAAATGAGAAAAGAGCCTGGGTGTTGTTTTCTGTAACACTTGCTTGGAGAAACAAACTTTATGAATGGCTTGCAGGTTATCCAAGCAGCCCAGAGGTGTTGCTTACATAATCGTTACCCATACTTATGAAATATGGCAGCCTATTAGGGGGAAATAAAATGTAGAAAGCCACACAGAAGGGGTGTTCCAATAACCTCCTTCATTCACTGAAAAAGTGTGTAGAGCTTCACTTGCTGGCTTTGCTTTTGATCCATGGGGACAAATTTTTTTTTGATCAGAATACTAACAAGTCACGGAGAAAACTGCAGTTATTTTCACGAATATATGCATTTTATGCACACTTTACCCTAGCATATACATTTATGTATACATTGTGTGATCCGGCGGCGACAGCCCCAGCCCCCAGGGATCATAAGGAATGAATAAAGACTTTGACAACATTATATGGAATTAAAATTAGGCCACAACTTTATTAAACTTCCGAATGTAGGAAGACCTTGGCTTAGGCCTTGGGCGTGTATCCCTCCCAGCCCCCCAGCCGGGGGAACTGGGGCTCATCCGGGTAAATGGGATGTGGGGGTGTTCTGCGAGACGTAAGTGTAGCAGGCAGCCCAGCCCATATCCCTGCACGCAGGGTAGTTAACTGACAACCTTTCAGTGTATGGCCAGTGACACCCATATATATAAAACCCCTTTAAGAGGGGGACCCTGGAATTGCCGTCGTGGGGGGATGAGTCACCACTTCACGCCTCCCCTCCCCCAACAGGGAAGAAAAGACTAAAGGATTCCACCCAAGGCCATAACTGTCAAAGTTGTGATGATTTGTTACGGGGAAGACAAAACCTGCCAATGCAGGAAAATTTCTTCCCGGTCCTTCAACAGCAGCCAGTCAAAGACCGTAGCAGCGCCCGCTAAACAGGAAGAAAATGTTAACCTGCAAACAACAAACATTAAACAAAGGGAGGGTGTTGTTGTTCAGTCGTTTAGTCGTGTCCGACTCTTCGTGACCCCATGGACCAGAGCACGCCAGGCACTCCTGTCTTCCACTGCCTCCCGCAGTTTGGTCAAACTCATGCTGGTAGCTTCGAGAACACTGTCCAACCATCTCGTCCTCTGAAAGGGAGGGTAGGGAGGGTGAATCCCCAGAGCCGACTGCCAGGCTATTGTCGGCTCCACCCCCTATTTATAAATGGGGCTGGCCCCACCCCCGAGCAAGAAACTTGATTACTGAGGCTGGGCATGAACCTCCAAAAATCCACACTGAGAGGCAAGCCAGCCCCTGTTTGCCAGTAAGCTCCCTGGGAAGTGTAGCACCACACGCAATCTCGCAAAGGGCACCCACCCACAATGTAAAGTGTGAGTGCTCATTACATGGCTGGACAACTGCACTGCGAAATACGGAGAAGTGTGAATGTCAAAGGATGGCTGTGTTTTAGTTTGCACACAGTTTCAGAAAGTGCAATTTTGGTAGGTTCGCCTTTAATGTGAAATAAATGGAATCCCTTCCCTCCATCTCTAGCTACAACGTTCTGTTGCAGTTCCCACATATTTCTATAGCTGCCAAAGCATCCAGTTCACTGGAGTGAAATGAACTAAGTTCAGCAAGGACGCCTACATCAAGATTAAGAGGCACTAGTTACAATGATTGATTGCCTGAATGAATGGTCAGGTAATAAAATAAAAAAGTGCTTTAAAGAAATTAATGGATACTCTTTAAAACAAGCACACCAGGCAGAGACTTAGATAATGCTCTAACAGCACTATTTGACAAAAAAATATATGTATGCCACAAAGTAAAGAAAAATATATGGACGCTACAAATTTTTGAGAAAGGCAGAAAGAGATCTAAAAAGCAAACCCACCCAGCTAAATTGCAGCATTACGGAAGCTATTAAAAGAAGGGGGGAAAGGAAATAATTTACAAAGTGGATTGCAAATCCAAATGTGGAAAAACCAAAAAACAGCATAAATTGTGGCAGGTTAAATGTAAGAAGAAAATGGAATTTGTGGAGGAACTGCAAGAATTTTGGAAAACACACAGAGAGACATAAAAGCTACCGCAGAGAAAGACGTTCATTAAAATGTCACAAGTGATTGAGTCAAACAACGGATTTGTTGTATCTGTTTTCACTGAAGAGGGTGTTAGCAACAAGCTTCCTGCGCCTGTATATAATCAATTTGTGATAGATCTCCATATTTACAAAACCATAGGAGAGGTTCCAGGGTAAATTGATAGTTTAAGCAGCAACATGTCACCAAAAACAGATGGCATCTCCCAAGAACTTTTGAAGAAACTCTGATATGGAGTTGCCATCTACTAGTGCCAATAAGCAGCCATGATCACTAACTTTCATTTTCATTATTACTCCCCCCCACCCTCCATCCATTTACTGCTACTGAAGGAAAATGAACATAATGGTCACAAATCCAATACATTCGGGATTGGCACAGTTCATCAGAAATCCAGTTGCAGCAGACTTAACTTAAACTTAACAATAACTTATAATAAGACTAAACTTAACACTATATACAGAACAGAACACCACACCCAAACAAAGATATAGAAAAAGAACGTAAGTGAATCCCAGGCTCCTTCTGGCCTATTATAGTCAGCATGACCTTGACAGAAGGATAACAGAACCAATTTAAACCAGCTTTACTCAGCTTCTCAGAAGGAATAATCCAAACAAGAACATTCTTCCACACAGAGAAGAAACCTTCCAGAACCCTCTTGAACTAAACAGAACAGGAAAGATCTCTACACATCAGATCAATACTTTCCTGTACTAAGAAATGCAAACTGACAATAATGGCACCAGGTGTGCGTAGGTAAAAAGATAGGTGCTTTGAAGTAGCCCCAAAGAGCTGGTCTTTCTGCTTTAGAATGTTGTGTCACCTGACATCATTGTGACATCAGGTGGATTGCTACTTGTCAAATTTGGGCCCAGGGGTGGGAATTAGGGGAAATAAGAACCTGCTCTTTCAGGTCCCCATCCCTGATCTATCTAGTAATTACCAAAAACTAAACTCCTAACTAAAACTAAACTCATTATTACATTTATATCCAGGGAACTCCGGGTGGTGTACATGGTCCCCCCCCCCATCCCGATTTTATACTTTGAATCATAAATTGCAGAGATGAAAATGACTCCAAGAGTCACCTGGTCCAGCCAGCTGCAATGTGGGAATAGCCTACCTGTGAGTTAGGTTAGGCCCAAGGTCCCCCTGTGAACTTAATGCCTGAGTGGGGACTTATTTTCCTAGATTATAGTCCAACACTAACCACTCCATCACACTGGTTCTTTAATATTGACCCTTATTTCCGAGTAGTGCTAACTCTAGTTCTTAGAGGCTCCAGAAATGAGCACAAATAAAAGCAACCAACATGGCTCCAAAAATATGTATTAAATCCACGTTAATCCCGTTACACCTCCAGCAGTGCAGGTCATGTTTTGGCAAAATAAAAATAAAAACCATTCTGGGTGGAGTTAGGTAGGATTGGAAAATTGTCTTAAGATAATTCTCTTTCAGGTTCACACTAGTAAATGTTCCGGGAATATTTCTGAATGCCCACATCCATTCTGATTCAAAGATTATTAACCTACTATTTGTTTAGTCCCATTTCCTTTTATATGAAGGATGGAGAAATTCTTTTGCACATATTGAGAGTATTAAATAGATCTTTGTTATTAATTTAATCATTTTGCTCAAGAAGACATTCATATGAGGTTCTTTCACATGGTAACCCACAGTTAGCTTTGAGTTGTTCTACTATATGTCTCAGTTGAAAAAAAAATATGAAATAATGGTGAGCATCTATGATTGAGTATTATTGTTGCCTGCTCATATGACATGATTTGATCCTGCCCAAACCAGCTACTACAGTATAATTGCTTGTCTATGAAACAGTTTCTTAAAATTGGAGATAATGTTGAAAATATATATTTTTTGAATATTGTTTTGAATATTGAATATTTTTCCCTTTAGTCTATTCAGTGTACTTTAGAGGATCCCCCCTTATGTTGCCCCTTTCCTCCTTCCTGTGTCATTTTTCTTTTTTCTTTCCCCTTTCTACTTCACTTGTTTTCTTTTTTCTTGACAAGCTGGTTTGTTTGATGTATAATGGTCTTGGTTACAAAGTGTAATAATATGATATTAAACAAATATTTAATAAACTTGGGGAAAAGGTAGCGTCAGAGCAGGGCAAGGCAACCTTTCACTAACTGCAGACTGATATTTCAAGCCTTGTTCCAAGACTGGCTCAAATGTAATTTACTGTCGCATTCAGTAATGGTTAAGCACGCTCTATAAATCAAATGCCTTTATGTGTAGAACATTTTAGAAACCCATTGTATATGTTTCTGTTCCAACATACATTGGTACCTCGGGTTAAGTACTTAATTCGTTCTGGAGGTCTGTACTTAACCTGAAACTGTTCTTAACCTGAAGCACCACTTTAGCTAATGCGCCGCAGGAGCAGGATTTCTGTTCTTATCCTGAAGCAAAGTTCTTAACCCGAGGTAGTATTTCTGGATTAGCGGAGTCTGTAACCTGAAGCGTATGTAACCTGAAGCGTATGTAACCTGAAGTGTATGTATCCCGAGGTACCACTGTATATCTGTCTGATCCACAGCTAAACAAGGACCCCCCACCAATGCAGGAGCTCATGTTATTGACAAGGAGGGAACCAAAGATGACCAGATCCCATGATGACCTGTATACACCAATTGCCCTGTTTTCTAGGGATAGTCCCTATTTCTGTATTTTCGGCAGATTTTATGGGCATCCTTTGCCAACCTGGTGCTCTCCAGTTGCTGTGGCACAAAGAGTGCTGGAAACTCATTACTTGTGGGTAGGGATGATGGGAATCAGTTAAATTTGCATTCAAAGGTGAACCTGCCCAGTTTTCACTTTCTGAAACAGTACATGAACTGAAACTCAGCCATCCTTTGAAATTTGCGCATCTCCGGATTTTGCCATGCAGTTCTCCAGACAAATCCATCTGTGTTTTTGTTTTTAATGGTGGAATGGACATAAAATGCATATATTTGTGAATCTGCCTCACATCAGGGAATATTGCTCTGCAAAAAAAACATGTGTGCTAAATAATTTTCATGGGGACTTTAAAAAACAACCCACTAAGTGATGTGAAAAGGTGTAGAATGGAACTTAAGACAGGAAAAATGGGAAACGGAGAGAAACTGAACTTCCCTATTTGCGAACCGGCTTGGGGAAGAAGACACAGAGCATTGCTTTCTGATTTAGATATATACTGGTTACTGAGAGTGACATGTGGAAAATCCTGGTGTCTGCCCACTCTCCTGTGTGTTTTGGATAAGAATGGAAAGGATCTGTTTGCGTCTCAAAGGCTACCTCTCTCAGATTTGGACATGGCAGGCTGAGCAGTGACACTCCATGCCTGATTGGATCAAAACAAATGCAACCCAAATGGCGATGTGAAATGGTGATTGGCTTTGGGCATCTTAGACTAGCTGATGTTGTGCACATCTCTTGGAAACAACTGCATATTTTCACAGAAGGGCTCCTCAGCTAGATGCGCCTATCTTTACCCATTTGAGTGATTTTATTTTGCGATTTTTTTTTAAAAAAAGATCTTAGCAAATTCATATTTCCAAGAATTCCTCGGAGAAGGATGAGTTCTCACTCATTAGGGCTGCTGATGAGTGGGATCTTTGTTCCCATCCTCTGCATGTTTTCATGCTTTTAAAAGGAAATGTCACATATGTCAGGCACTGTGCTGGCCAAAGAGAATGTAGGCATTTGGTTGCACTCCTAGCCTTGGGAGATATAAAAGATGAAGGGTGTGTGGAATTGCTGCCCCAGCCAACCTCCCAGTTTCTCCATGAGCATGAATGCAATGCTCTTATTTTCACTGCTAGAGGGGAAATGTCATGTGGAAATCAAAAGATTGCACATTCTTTGAGCATGATGTGTACAAGACTCTCTGAAGCTATGTGACTGACGTGCAGCCGATCAGCCGGCCTCCCTCAGCCCCGCTGGCTGTTTTGCAGTTGGTGGCTTTGTCACTTTTGATCGATTCCCAGTGCTTTTTCCAATAGTCGGCTGAGTTCCAGAGTCCAAAAGCAAATGGGAGATTGCGCCTGCTTTTTAAAGTGCTAAATGCATTTTATGAGCTAGGAACTCTCCTCTCATTTCCCACTTGCCACCTCTTTCGCCACTTCCCCTTTCTGCAGTCCCCATTTTTCTTCTCCAGCCTGCTCACCTCCTTGGGCTACAGCATGGGTAGGCAAACTAAGGCCCAGGGACCGGATCTGGCCCAATCACCTTCTAAATCTGGCCCGCAGATGGTCCAGGAATCGGTATGTTTTTACATGAGTAGAATGTGTGCTTTTATTTAAAACGCATCTCTGGGTTATTTGTGGGGCATAGGAATTCGTTCATTTTCTCTCTCCAAAATATAGTCTGGCCCCACACAAGGTCTGAGGGACAGTGGACTGGCCCCTGGCTGAAAAAGTTTGCTGACCCCTGGGCTACAGGGCTGGTTCTGCCATGAGAGGCAGAAGGGGTAGGGGTAGGTCAGCAATTCTCCCCTCCATCTCCCTTGAGACACCTAGAGAAGCTAGCCTGCTGCCCTGAGATGAAGCGAAGTCTGCTGCCCCTTTGCTGGTGTTGAGGTAAGATTTAGCTGAATCCTGAACTGAACCAGGCCGATTTGGGGGGATCCAGGCTTGGGCAGAGTCAGGTAGAGCCAGCCCTGTTTTGCTGTGGGTTGGGCCTCCTAAAGCAATCTGGGACTGTCAGAGGCAGAAAGAAGGTGAGGCAGGCAGCCCCACCACATTCCCCCACAGGGAATAAACTACAGAAGCAAACCCCGGCAGGATTGAATCCTGGTGAGCAGAGAATTTGATTTTGCAGGCCCCTGTGCTTTGCAAATGCATTCTTTGTGGGGAAGGCGCTTGTGAAGGGACACCCTGCAGGCTTGAACCCTCCTGCTTTTGGTGACACAGTGTCTCTAGCCCCCTTCCAACTGTATTTTTACTCAGGGTTAAAAAAATTATAGTGAAACATTAGCCCCACCCCTGAATTGATTTGGGGGCAGAACCGGGGGTGGGGGGTAGGTGGTCCCTGGGCTGTGGGGAAGCTTAGCCATAATTGCATAGCCATAATTGATAGATCCTCCATACAGCTGAGAGATCCTTGACTGGCACCTTTTCCTCTGTTACTTGGATCTTGGCTGCTACTCAGGATGGGACAATGATACCCTGACAATTGGGGGCTGTATTCTTGCGCTGCTTCAATTTTTTTGTGATGGGACCGAGAAAACCTTTAAAAAAAAATTTCAACCTGTTGGATAGGCTTTGCTGCAACACGAGGTCTGACTCTTGGTAATAGCAAATGCCAGAAGGCAGCCTCTCTTAACGTCCAGATACAGCGTTAATTGCAATGATTCTGCCAACCTGGAAATGTGGCTCTATGAGTTGGTGGGAAAAGAGACACAACAGATGGCAAATCCCCCTCGCAGCTCTCGGGAGGTTGCAGCATTAATTAATTAATTGCAGAGGCCCTAAATGAGCAACACATGCCACAGTTAAAAACGGGATCTGCAAAGCAGAATTCTTTTGCCATTATTTGCTAGGGATGGGATTTATGCCTTTTGGATTACGATAACTAGCGAACACTAGGATATGTTAGTTTTCTCACCAAACCACTACCTCCCTGTGGTCAGCTCCCACATTGCATTAGTAGTATGCCTGAGACCACTCAGTAATCACATGGTTCCCTTGGAATGAAGGGGACTTAGTTTTGCTTTAGACCTTCCCTTTGAAGAGTTATATATGCTCCTTTATTACATTTCTGCAACAACGTTCAACCATTAATTAGAATAAACTGCATCACCTTGGGGAAAGCCGAGGTGCAACAGGTAAGCACGTCTTTATTCATGTACTTACACACCAAACCCTCCCCATCGTTGCATAACCACAACACAAAAATGTGGGAGAGGGTGGGTTTGTTATAAGCTTACCTGTTAGGTTAGGGAGGCCAGAACATGGAAGAGTCAACAATCCTTTTATGACACATAGTTCCCCTCCCATTTGTCCCTCCTGTCTGGATGTCTCCTGAAGAAAAAGAAAATATGTTGATGCAATATAATTGCCTATGTATTTACCAAGTCAAATTTGGGAAGCTAGATTCAAATGTTGAGGATCTGGGGACCTATGGGTGTTGATTAACCTTGCTCAGTGCATCATTGAACTGTTATGCCAGGGCTGGGCAGGAGATCAGAATCTATTGCTTTAGTGGGGAGTGGCCAGCCCACCACGCTTCCCCATTTGACCTGCAAGGCTACTTGGCCCAAGACACATCCACAAGGCTGTTTGGTCCAAGCCATGACCACGTGCTCCATACAGGATGAATGGAATTAGATCAGCAAGGGATTCCCCACCTGCCATTACAGGCAACTCCCCATTTTCATGGGGTTTTGTTCTAAGGCACCATGTGTGTTGGCAGGATGACTTGAATGTGCACAAATGGGGAGTTGCCTGTATTTTAACAGGAGGAAGTACCATCCCCCCATTTCAAAGATAGAATTTCGGAATCTTGATTGAGAAGTAGGTTTGCACTTGAATATGCAGGACATTGCAGTGTACGGCTTGTGGTCTACAGTAGGCAGCTGTCTCAGTTTCCCCATTTAGGTTTTTGCTCCAGCGGCTGAGATCTTTCAAACCGGAGCCTCACTCTGCTTGTGTGATGCACTGAATATTACAGAGACCTGGTCCTCCTCCCTCCTCCATGTACACACAGAGAAGGAATGAAGGAGTCTTGACTGTGCATAATCTAGAAAGCAATGGGAGGTGAATTGTAAATTTCTAACTTATCAGTGTTGCTCTGGAAAAATAATAACAAGAAGAACAGGCCACTGTGAGCCTCCAAATCCAGAGGAACATTTAATTGGGAATAATTTCCTCAGAGCAACCACCAGCAACCTGAAAAAAGCAGGCATGGCTCCTGTTCAACCCAGGCACTGTTGAACGGCATGTAATATGTTCAGTCCTGTCAGTGCAACAACCAAAGTACTTGTCATGCTGCTTACCCTTAGTATCAGTCCCTCTCTCTCTCTTTCTCCACCCGCCTCCCTTTCTGCTTTGCTCTGTGCTGCTCTTCCTCCGAAACTCTGTGTGTTAACAGCTTGCTGACAGGCTGTTGCTTGCTAATTGGGAATCTCAGAATGGAATTACAACAACCAAATTTTCTCAGGCTGGACTCCGATGGCAGCCTGTGTGTTCAAACCTGAATGATCTTCCTTGCACTCTTAATAAGGGCCTCGTGCCGTACCTGTCAGTGCTGCTCCTCAGTGAGTGGTGAGTTTTAAGGGCTCACTGAGAGAACATTTAGAGATCCTTTTGTGTTGGGGAGAGGAACACCCAAGTGGATTGTAATTGGTCTGTCAAGGTTTTTTTGCTTGTCACTGGAGGTGTAAACATAAAACAGCACTGACTGGGGAAGGAGAGCTGGGAGTTCATTTGATCCAGAACGAGGAAGAGCAAGTGAATCTTCCTGGGCTGACCTTGAGAGGTCCGACTCTGAATTAACTTGCTTCCAGCCCATGGATGCTGCTGCTGTCAACATCACCTGCAGAATTTGCACTCCCAAGTGCAAGTTTACTCTCTGTGGCTGCATTCATAGGCCAGTTTATTCCATTTCCCCAACTGTTAATTTCACAATATACTTCCAGATATTTAGAGGAATATAGGGCAAGGCTGCATTCACACAGCAGTTTATTCTCCTTCCCAAAAATTTCCCTAACTGTTAATTTTTACATTATATTTGAGCCTTCACTTTATGTTTTAGAAAAAAAAAAAGGCAAGGAAGGACAGATAGAGGTGTCTGGGATTGTGGAAAAAGTGTATAGGGATATGTTTTTCTCCCTTCCTCAGAATACTACAACCTGGGTTCATTGAATGAATGTAACTGAATGCTGGAAGAATCAAGACAGACACAAGAAAATACTTATTCACGCATCACCTAAATAGTTAACTTAGAGCCATCTTCATTGTTACATGTATTTTTGTTCCTGGTCCCATGATATTTGCCTGTGACATGGGTATTAAAAAGCAGTGAATATTTTAAAGAGATTTTTTTTTTTAATGGTATGCATGCCTATGTTTGGGTTCTTGATTAAAGAACCTAAACTAGTCAGTGTGGACAGACACCGTAGTTACTTTTGTCCTACAGCCTGAAAAGGGCAAATTATGCCAATCCTCTTTTCAGGGTATAAGAACAACAATTTCTTTTTCTGGAGAACATACCTAGCATTACATTGGACCTCAAGAGAAAACCATATCCACCATTAAGGCAGAGAATTCCTTGATGACAAAGGAAAGGTTTAAAGTCATCTGAGGAAAATAGCTGTCTCCAGTACCTGCTTCTCAGAGGATGAAGGGGTTATAAGGATCAGGAAGCCTTTAAAGACTTTGCTTGTGCTAGCAAACCTTGTTTCCCATTGTGCTTGATCAAAACTTTAGAGTCAACCTAAGTGACCTCCTTGTGGTTCCAGAAGAACTGAACCCATATCCTGGAAGGCAAGAAACAATGTTCTTCCTCCCTGCAAGCCTGTCAGCCCAAGCCAGATTTGCAGAATCACTGTGATCAAAGGAATCTCACTTGGAATGCAGACTCATAGTGGCTCCAGTGGAAATCTACCAGGAATGAAATTTGAGGGGTGCGAGGGTGGGGAGGGTTGCCCAGGGAGATACGGTTGCTTATGAAAACCAATGATGGATGCCCCATTTGAATTTTGTGGGCTGGCTTTGAAGAGCAACACCCGGGAGGTCAGATCCTTATCAGGCTTTCTTGCACCAGCAGACAAGAGGCTTGATAATATCTCTGAAGAGCTGACTTTGTTGTCACATGCGTTTCTGTCTCTGGTCCCATGATATCAGACTCCCCCGCCCCCCCTCCATGTGAATTGCTTGTATTCTTACATTCTGACCCTTGCCAGAAACCCAACAAGCAAATTTGCATTTTCAAGCATGATATTTCCTCCCAAACTGCATAGTTTGGGGGACTAGAAAAGAGGGGTTTTTTGGCAAGCTGTTTCATTATGATCAAGGGCAGAGCAAGAATTCTTTTGGACTGGCTAGGAGACTAGCCATATGCTTTTTTGGCAAAACATTTGACAGGGTGGGGACCTGAAAACTGGCATTTTTTAAAAAAATGTGGAATGCCCTTCTCTTTGTCAACCATGAAGTAGAACCATCGGTTGTACCAGATGTCATGTGGAGACAGGTTTTGTGTTTGTATCTTTTGAATTTCTGTTTAATCCAATTTATTTGCTTTTTATCGCTGTTTTACTAATTTTATACTGTGTTTTTGACATATATAGAGAGAGAGTTAGAGAGATGTTTGAAATAGCAAGCAGTATATAAATACTTTAAAATATAATAAATAGCAAGACTTCTACTGGATCAGATCAAAAATTAATCTTGTTCGGAATAAAGCTATGTACTAAAGGGCTCTGAAATTTCTCTAACCTACCAGGAATTGCTGAAGAATTGAAGCTGAGACCTTCTTCACGTGCTCTGCCGCTGCTCTCTCCCCACAAAGCTGCTTTCTCAAAAAAGACCTTGGACATTGAGAAAGTAGGCAACTGGTTCCATGCACAATGTCAGGAGCTGCTGATATCTGTGCACAGCTGCCCAGTGTATTGAGCCACTAAAAGCAGGTGACAGCTTTTGGGTGAAGTAGCCTTGTGCCCTGCATGGAATCTGCCCATTGAATCCTCCCGGACAGGGAGCCCTATAAGAGAGCTTCCTGCGCATGTTAAGCCATACCTGGGCAACAAAGTCTTACTGAGCTCCTGTGGGTTCCTGTATTCTTGGTTTATTTATTATTGCATTCAGATCCCACCTATCCCCCAGGGAGGTCAAGGTGACATACATAGCTCTCCCAGATTGCATTCTCACAACAAACCTGTGAGGTAGGTTAGGCTGAGAGACAGCGAGTGCCTAAACGTCACCCAGTGAGCTTCATGGCTGAGTGGGGATTTGAACCCTGGTCTCCCAGTTCCTCCAATGACTCTCCTGTCCTGACTTCTTACTTCCTCTTCAGTCTTATCTCCTGGCTTATGCTTTGGTTCTTACTTGCTGTTCAGATGATTGGCTTTGTCTTTTGGCCTCCTCATTTCCAGCTCCTAGCCCACCTCAGATTGCTGCCCATGGCCTAGTCCTGTTGCACCCACCTCCATCTCTTCCTCATTATATTGAAACTACATTTCTCCTTTCTACCCTTTCCAGCCTTCCCTCTTTCTGTCTGCCCACATCCAATCTGCCCTTTGGGTCTCACTCTAGCTCAGGGATGGCCAATATGGTGATAAGGAGCACTAGGGAGCCCACCAGTGCCTTGTATGTCACTTGTAAAAGTCTCGGTAAGCATCCCCTCAAAAATCCAGAATACATGAGAGACTATTATTTGATGATATTATTATTATTATGCCTAGGACCCTCGTACCTACGGGACCACCTCTCCCGGTATGCCCCACGGAGAGCCTCAAGGTCCATAAATAGCAACACCCTAGTGGTCCCGGGCCCTAAGGAAGTTAGATTAGCTTCAGCCAGAGCCGGGGCCTTTTCAGTGATGGCTCCGGTCTGGTGGAACGCTCTGCCTCATGAGACCAGGGCCCTGCAGGATCTGATTTCTTTCCGCAGGGCCTGTAAGACAGAGTTGTTCCGCCTGGCCTTTGGCTTGGAGCCAATTTGATTCCCTCCCCCTCTTTCTTTTTTCTTTTTCCTCCTGTGATGAGGCTGCATTTTAATATCTTAATGTTTCAATATTTTAATGTTGTATTTTAATCTTGTTTTTAAGTTGTATTCATTCAACTTGTTTTTATTATTGCTTGTTAGCCGCCCTGAGCCCGGCCTTGGCTGGGGAGGGCGGGGTATAAATAATAATAATAATAATAATAATAATAATAATATACTGCTGAATATGAAAAGAGGCACCATTTTGTGGTCTTGTCTCTATTTTTCTGCTATTTCAGATATGTCAGCCATTTTGTATTAATGCCACTCCTCCATGGCAACCATTTTCTGACTGCCAACCGCGACACTTTCTCAAATTCCAATTGTGACTGCGTGCCAGAGGAGGTTGGCAACTCTGCTCTCGCTGCATCAGAAAGACATCAATATGAAAATTAAACTATTTCATGGAGTTTTACTGATGCAGTTTATATCACTATGTAGTGTGAGTAGGTGCTAAAAAGAAATTCTATCCTATATTTCCTTTTTTTGGATGCCACCCCCTCCCAGAAGTATATTTAGTATTTGATCAGCCAGTTTCTAGCCTCATTGTCCTATTGACAAAGGCCTTAATCACTTCTGCCCATGGGGACTGTTGAAGAAGTTGAGCAAATGTTGTTAGTGCTGAGAATTCTGATTACTGCCAAGATGGGAGTTTTCTTCCCCCTCTGCTGATGGATTTTCCTACTTGGTAAGATTTGTCTGCTGAGCATGACTTCTACATCCCTAGAATTAGTCAGTGTTCTCCCCAAGACAGCTTCAGTATTATTACCTCCAAAGTCCGGCACAGAGGGAGGGAGAGAGATAAAAACCTTGGCATCAACTGCATCAGGAAGTCTAGAGATTGCTCCATAAATACAGAACCGTTGACACTTCTTTAAACTCACAGCATTAGCACACAGCTTGGTGTCTCCATCTTTATCAGAAATCTGTTGACAAGGATTGCCCAAAGGCCTACAAATAATGTCACACGGGACACGTTGAAAATGTATTTGTGGAACATTTTGGTTAAGGACGTCACAATTTCTAGTGGATGAACTCATCTCCTGTCAATGTGTGTTCTTAGTAGCCTTATTCTAGAATTGCTTTGGTTTGTATTTTGCAACAATGTTTTGATCCACAATCCAACTGTGGGCATGCCCAGCTGGGTGCATATAACAAGTTGAGGTGCCTAATCAAAGAGAGCATCCTTAGCATCGTCAAATGATGCATCCAGCCTGCTCAGAGGGGCCTGGCTATAGACTGCCACGAGGCTGGAGTTGACCAAGCTTTAGTTCTGGTGGGAATATGCTTGATGAGTTGACTGCTCATACTGAAATATAAGAATGAACTCCACTTCTGCCCTTAACTTCTCAGATTACTTCTCATTTCCTTTGAGGCATCTGGGAGCAGGAGATTTTATCCAATGTAAAGTACTTAGCAGTAGATGTGTTCCACTGGAAAAATGATATGGCACAAGATAATGCACACGCAGGTTGCTGTGAACTTTGCTGCAGAACAGACTGCAACAGGCTGCGCAGTCTGTTGTGCAATGAGTTTCTGCTAGCACAACTGTTGCATCTGATTCCTCTGTTGCCCAGTATCTGAAACTCACACATCAAATATTGGCTATAGCCCATGGACAGAGAATCTGTAAATATTAGTTTCTCATTTTTCCAGCCTGAACTGCAGTTTTCTATATATATATATATGTCTTCACGAAAATTAATCAACATTTAAGTGTGAATTTCTCCTAATGCTTGCGTGCAAGTTTGCCTAGCAGATGCATCACTGCTAAGCAATTTCCCCAAAAGTAATTGCATTTGTATATGTTATTTTAACTAATATATGCATTTATATATACGCTTAATTCCAGTATGCATTTGTGTACGCATTACTTTGCTGGAGAGCTGCATTGTGAATTTCAAAGGAAGGTTGTGCTTTGGTTCATATATTGTTTCAGAAATTGCAAATTAGTTAGGTTTGCCTTTACAGTGGTACCTCAGGTTAAGTACTTAATTCATTCCGGAGGTTCGTACTTAACCTGCAACTGTTCTTAACCTGAAGCTCCACTTTAGCCGCCGGAGCACGATTTCTGTTCTTATTATTCTTATTCTGAAGCAAAGTTCTTAACCTGCGGTACTATTTCTGGGTTAGCAGAGTCTGTAACCTGAAGCATATGTAAACTGAAGCGTATGTAACCTGAGGTACCACTGTAATTGTGAACAGCATTGAACTTCTCCCGCACTCCTACCTGCTACAGCTAAGCACAGAGTAATGTTGTACGCTGTCAGGGGTTCAGAGAGAGAGGCACAGGGTAGGCAGGAGATGGAGAGCGAGGGGGATGAATTCCAAGCCAGCGAGGAAGAGGATGACAATGACTCAAGGGATTCCATGAGTCTTTCCAGTGAATCAGAGGATTCCCAGAAGGGGGCGCCGGTGGTCAAGGCCAGGGGAGCCCCAGGGGGGAAGTGTCAGGAGCAGGGTGCCAGCGGAGGATCCCAAAGTGGCAGCTGGGCGTCAGGACCAGCCTCCCCACCAAAGTGCAGCGAAGGGGTGGAGTTTCCAGTGTGTCAGAGGAAGCAGCTCCAGCAGCAGAGAAAGGAGGGGGTCAGAGCAAGCCGCCCTCCCGGAAGGAGGGAGCAGTGAAGGGAGTAGTGTAACTGTCAAAAGGAAAGTTAGAGGTTTGGCGCGCGCCTGGTTCAAATGTAGAGGCGCGCGGAAGTGCAGGGAGTCCGGAGGAGGGGCCAGGTCCCAAAGCCCGCAGGAGGGGGGGAAGAGCAGTCTGGGGATTCAGCGTCAGAGGAATCCAGAAGGGCGCAACCCCAGGGGCAGAAGGACCCTGCGGAAAGGAAGGAGAGAAAGAGGTGGAGCAGCGCAAGTCTCTTAAATTGGTGCAGAGGAGGAACTGACTCAGAAAGGGACTTCGGCGGTCTAGCGTAAGAGACGTAAGGCTGCGCGCCTAGGATGTCAAGCAACCATGAACTGCAATAAACACCTTTGTATACAAGAAGACGTAGGCGTTGGTCTTTTGTGAGCTAAGACTTGAGGCAGCCTTGACATACGCATAATTTTTAATTTTGTTTGATTATTCCCAAAGGCATAGGCCATGCAACAGTTGTCTGTACAGGAGATTATATGGTGAATTTAGTGTTTGAGAGCTCCCTGCCCTGAGAAGCTTACAATTTAAAATTACACATGGGGAAACAACTGAGGAAGTAGAGAGAAATTTAGGCTGGGGCAACCATAGAAGGAATACAGTTGCTGGAATCTTTTCTGATAGTTGCTTTTATCACTATCCTGTGAATAAGATCTGTTCATCCAGTAAGCCTAGCCTCTTACAAAATGCATGCTTTAGAGTTAGGGTTTGAGTACCCTAATTGAAGTTAGAGTTCCACACTGAGACAGTGACTACTGTATGCTTGCAGATCTCCATAATTTATTGCTTTTTTTTTTTAAAAAAAAGATTTGATGGTTTGCACTGCATCCTTGATTTTGAGATGTTTTGTCTCACATAGCGGGTTTCCATCTGTTCTTTTAGTTTTCAGGGGCTGAGTGAGATGCTCCAACTTGAGATCTTGAGATCAATTGCTTATGACATTTTCGTAAGTGATGCTAAGGACACCCTCCTTCATTTCCTCATGTTAATTCAGATGCATTATCTACGTAAGGGTTGTTAGGGGAGGGTTGGTACCTCTGGTGGGAGACACATCTTTATCCTTCTGGGTTGTTTGTCCACCTTTGGTCTCCACCCTGCACTCAGCTCTCACCTGTGGCTCCTAGAAGCTGTCAGCATGCAAAAACGCCCACACCTTGGGAATGGCTTCAACTGGCTAGCTAAACCAGGTGAGAGTGGCCAATGGGTGTCAAACCCCAATAGTGGATCCAATAGTCAAGAAGGTACTTTCTGCAGGTGCTGCAGATGGAAATGAGTGGCAGATGGGTGAAGGCTCTGATTCTAAACCTCTGTTGCCTTGTGGGATATCTTTGGGAGAAGAAAAAGTTAAGGAGTAAACCATACACAAATCCTAAGTGGAATCTCTAAGATGGTTGGATGGCACCTAGTACACCATTTCCTTTGGACCACATCAGTGAGGCTGAGGGGGGGGGGTCTTGTTGTTTGGACAGCTCAGCACCTCCATACACACTGCCCAGGTTTGGGCCCTGGGGAGGTCACTTCAGTGCTGTCAGTGCAGCAGTTTGACAATGCACCCCATTGTCTTTAAAGACTGATGGATTCCAACTATCTATGTGGGATGAAGCCATGGCTACTGTTTTTTAAACAACTCTGTATCTTTTCTCCCCATAATTTATCCCTCTTATCTTGTATAGAAGCATTCACACGTAACACCATCTTAATTACATAGGAACAGATTTATAACACCACTTTTCAGAGAAAATGCCCTTCCAAGATGGCTAGAGAGCTTAGATGCACTTGTAGATCCGTTCACATGCAGTTCCAAACCCTGGTTTAATGTTAGATGAAAAAGCCTTGTTTTCATATGTCCCCTCATTTATTCTCCTTCATCCACTCATAGACTGCACAAATTGAAGATGGGGGGAAGGGAGACACATGGCTTGCCAGTAGTACATGTGAAAAGGTTTCAGGAGTCTTAGACCACAAGTTAACATGAGCAAACAGGGTGATGCAACAGTAAAAAAAAGGCTAATGCTAGTCTAGGCTGTACAGTGTCCTGATCAATGGAAGTCATAGTACCACTCTCTTCTGCCTTGGTCAGAGTACAGCTGGAGTATTGTGTCCAGATCTGGGGGCCACAATTTAAGAAGGTTATTGACAAGGTAGTACATGTGCAGAAGGGACGCGGGTGGTGCTGTGGGTTAAACCACTGAGCCTAGGACTTGCCGATCAGAAGGTCGGTGGTTCGAATCCCCGCGACGGGGTGAGCTCCCGTTGCTTGGTCCCTGCTCCTGCCAACCTAGCAGTTCGAAAGCACGTCAAAGTGCAAGTAGATAAATAGGTACCGCTCCGGTGGGAAGGTAAACGGCGTTTCCGTGTGCTGCTCTGGTTCGCCAGAAGCGGCTTAGTCATGCTGGCCACATGACCCGGAAGCTGTACGCTGGCAAGATGAGCACCGCAACCCCCGAGTCAGCCACGACTGGACCTAATGGTCAGGGGTCCCTTTACCCTTTACCTTACATGTGCAGAGGAGGGCAACAAAGATGATAAAGGTTCTGGAAACCAAGCCATATAAGGAATGGTTGAGGGAATTGGGTATGTTTAGCCTGAAGAAGAAGGAGCAGACTGAGAGGAGATATGAAAGCCATCTTCAAATATCTGAAGGGCTGATGAATGTTAGAATGATGAATGTTAGAATGATGTCAGAATGAAATTAAGTGGTCTTAGCAGCAATGTCATAAAGGTGTATGTACAAATGAATTGTTAACAGATGAGAATCTAAAGTTATAATATGTTAAGTTAAAGGATTAACACAAAAACAAAGAGGGAAAGGAATTGCTGAATTAATAGAACTGGAATACAAAAAAGGGAGGTGTGAGGAAGTCAGGGAAGTAAGGAAATGAAATGTAAGTTATGGAAAGATCGATGTGTTTTTGTTTTTTTTAAGTGTTTTCTATCTTTTTTCTGTATTTTGTATTTTTTTTCCTTTTTGTTTTTTTTCTTTTTTCTTTTATATATGTAATTTTTTCTTTGAAACTTTAATAAATATCATTTAAAAAAAACAAAAAACAAATATCTGAAGGGCTGTCACATGGAAGATGGAGCAAGCTGGTTTTCTCCTGCCTGGGAGGGCCAGGACCAGAACCAATGGCTTCAAGTTACAAGAAAGGAGAGCCTGACTAAACATCAGGAAGAACATTCTGATGGTAAGAGCTGTTTGACAGTGGAATGGACTCCCTTGGAAGATGGCAGACTCTCGTTCCTTGGAGCCAAGGTTGGACGGCCGTGTGTCAGGGATGCTTTAGTTGAAATTAATGCCTTGCAAGGAGGCTAAACTAGATGACTCTTGGGGAACCTTCTGACTCTACGATTCTAGGAATCCTGCCATGAAATGAATGAGTGAAAGAGCTGTTTGAGGAAAGTGCCATAGCTTAGTGGAAGAGCATCTGTTGTTCCTGCAGAAGGTACCAGGTTTAATCCTTGGCACTTTCCAGGTAGGGCTGGGAAATACTATGTTGCTTGAAACCCCAGAGTGCTGCTGCCAGCCGGTATAATAATAATAATAATAATAATAATAATAATAATAATAATAATAATTTATTATTTATACCCCGCCCATCTGGCTGGGTTTCCCCAGCCACTCTGAGCGGCTTCCAACAGAATATTAAAATACAAAACCTATTAAACATTAAAAGCTTCCCTAAACAAGGCTGCCTTCAGATGTCTTCTAAAAGTCTGGTAGTTGTTTGTCTCTTTGACATCTGATGGGAGGGTGTTCCACAGGGTGGGTGCCACTACCGAGAAGGCCCTCTGCCAATACTGAGATAGATGGAACAATGGTCTGATCAATGCCGGATTTATGTATAAGCTAAACAAGCTATAGTTTAGGGCCCCACTCTTTTGCGGGGCCCCTAAAATTTTAAAGAAAAAAACCCCTGGATGTACATTTCCAAGATAAAAGATAAAAAACAAATAAAACAAAACCTACATACAGCAACAGTGTTTTGTGTTGTGTAGGCTCCTATGATGTAAGTAATTGGCCCCGTCTGCTAGCCTGCTCCCTAAAATATCACATATAAAGGGCCCCAAAACCTTCAGTAGCTTAGGGCCTCATCAAACCTAAATCCGGGCCTGCGTCTGACTCAGTATAAGACAGCTCCCTATGTTCCTAAAACCACACTTTCTAGGAAATATATATTTGTCCTTTAATTTATGAGCATTTGGTTTCCAAATGCGGTTTTAAAGTGTCACTTGTGAATATGCCCCGAGTTTCTCATAATCCGGCATCTGCTGCACTTTGCGTGCTGTGCTTGTTGATGATCCCCTTTCCTCCTGTAACGTGTCATTTCCTCCCTTGGTAAATAGCACAGTATGTGGGGTCCAATGAAACATTTCACCAGCATGCCTCCTGTTTCTAAAGAAACCTTTGGCCTGTTACAGTGCAGGAAGGGAGTCGATTCCCAAGAACAAGGCTGCTTTCTGCCCAATCCACCACACCGCCACCTCCTCCTCCTCCTCCTCCTCCTCCTTCCTCTGGCCATTCTGCTGTGATTCCAGCTTGCGCAAGAGAAGTGATGATAAATTTCCAACAGTGGCATTACAGACAGTCATAAATAATGCCTTGCTCTGTGGTGCCGGCAGTTTCCATTAGGGCTGTCTGGATTGGGCTGTTGATACCCTGGTCTATGCTGGGACTAGCAGTAAAATTTATCAGCCTGCTTTCTTCACCTCATAAATCATCCCAACTAGGAGCCATATGGCAGAGAAGCCCTTAGAAACACATGACCGCCAGCAGCAGCGGGCAGGCGGAACAGACCCTCCTGGAAAGAAGATAAGAGAGAGAAAGGGCAGGACGTGGCAGAATCACCTTCCCAGGCGCCCCTTTTCAGCCCCCCCTTTCTCCCTCTCTGCTGTACTGCTGTTGTCATTATTTAATGGTATTAGCATTATTAGCATTCTCTTTTTTAAAAAGAAAATCTGTTGCAAGCATTATTATCATATGATTTCTTGCCTGTATTACAGTGCTCATCCAGCAGTGGGGTGGTTCGGAATAACCCTTTTTATAGCCATGGAGGGGCAAACATGTCCAGGCATTTTGCTGTTGTTTTTAATGATTGTTACACTACAGTGGTACCTCGGGTTAAGTACTTAATTCGTTCCGGAGGTCCGTTCTTAACCTGAAACTGTTCTTAACCTGAAGCACCACTTTAGCTAATGGGGCCTCCTGCTGCCGCTGTGCCGCTGGAGCACAATTTCTGTTCTCATCCTGAAGCAAAGTTCTTAACCCGCGGTAATATTTCTGGGTTAGCGGAGTCTGAAACCTGAAGCGTCTGTAGCCTGAAGCGTATGTAACCCGAGGTACCACTGTATTTGTATTTTATGGCTTTGTATGTCACTTTGAGACAACTGTTAGTGTGAAGGATAATAATAATAGTTAATAATAATAATAATAATAATCACCCCAAAGTCAACAAAATGTATTAAAGTGAATATGGTTGGTAAATACACAAGTGGATGTTGAATCAAATGGTCTTTTTTCAGGGGGCAACTAAATAAATAAATAATAAAAACGACTTTTGCATTTCGTTCCAATAATGTCAGGAGCTACAGGGGTTAAAAACTGGAGCCCCCTCCCCAGCTCTCTCCCCCTTCCTCTCTGCTCAACTGCCCCATGTTGGTGAGCTGCTGGAACCGCAGTTTGGATCGTATTCCTAGCAGTGATCTCAACTTGGGGCTTGCCATTCCTCTTCCTGTGTTAGTCAGGACTGGGGAACCTTTTTAGTCAGAGGAGCAACCTTTCATGGGCCACCTGCTGGTGATGGGAGAGGCCAGAGACAAAAGTGGGTAGAGCGATTGTACAAATTTTAGCTTTGTACAATAGGTTAATTTGTACACGCATACACTTCTTCCATTCAGACAAGCAAGAACCCTATTCATAGTTCAAGGACACATTCCAGCCAGCCAAAAAAAACACACAGGTTATAAAATGGGGTCCAGCCTGTGGAGAGTTCTGTGGACCAGATACAGAGGCCTGGAGGATTCCCACTCCTGGTATTAGTGAATGTGGGAATGAGTGAAGTATCTCTGCTCCACAGCAGCATCCCTACCATCCTCCATAACGTAGAGGGCAAACTTGTGAATGCAGGAGGCTCCCCACTTCACAAGTTCATCCTCCGATTCATGGAGTGTGAAAGGCAACAGGGGCAGAACCAGCTTATTGACTGTGATGTCCTCTAACTTCCCATGATATCACCTGGCATGAATAGGGAGCAGCCACTACAGATGCAAATAAGTTAACTGCCCTAACCCAATAAAAGCTTTGCTACATTCTCAGTCATGGTTCTCCAGTCTTGGTGGCCATGTGTTCTTCTAACAACACAAGAAGGAGCCCTGCTAAATAGGACCAATAGTCTGTCTAGCCCAGCAGTGCACTGTGAGTCCTACATTGGCCAGCCAGAAGCTTCTGAGAAGCCTACCAGCTGAGCATGAAGGTAATAGCCCACTGTTTTGTTGCCTCCTCCTAGCAGCTGATACTCAGAGGTTTACCATCTTTGAACCTGGAGGATCCCCACAGCTTTCTGGGTTAATAGCAATGGAAAGACTCACTCTGTCCATGGCTGCTAGCCCTTATGGCTATGTTCTACCTCCACTATCAGAGGCGGTATTCCTTTGAAAACCAGTTTCTGGGGATCACAGGTAGGCAGCATGCTGTTGCACTCAAGTTCTGTTTACAGGCTTCCCATGAACATCTGGTTGGCCACTGTGAGGACAGGATGCTGGCCTTTGGGATAATCTGGCAGGGCTTTCCTTATCTCATTTTCCTCCATAGACTTGGCTAAGTCCCATCTTGTTGCAGTAAATTAGGGAAAACTTCCCGACTGTGGAGCAGATGGCCGTGGGAGGTGGTGGATTCTTCTTTGTTAGAGGATTTCAACAAAACATGGAATGGACACCAAGGGTGATCCTAGAATCATAGAACTGTAGAGTTAGGAGGTACCACGAAGCTCATCTAGTCCAATCCCCTGCAATGCAGGAATCTTTTGCCCAACATGATGTAGAAGAGGAATTCCAGCATCACCAAGAGGCTGGACTAGGTTGGACCTTTGAGATCCCTTCTAACACTATGATTCTATGATATCTATGAATTTCATACAATCACTCATCTTATTTCTGATAATACTTTGGGTGCTGCTGGGTTCTGCGAAATCCACTGGTTATTAACAAGGCATGAATGTCAAAAAGGCATGCTGCTTAGGCGATGTCCTGCAAGGATTCCCCGTAGCAGATTTTAGGAAAAACGCTCCATCAAGTGTCCCCCATTTTTGCCTAGCTACAGAATATAAATTCCCTGGAAAGTCTCCATGTAATAGCTGCATTTCTGTGTAATGGAGGAGTGCCTACAATTAATATGTTGACTATTAGGGACATGTGTATGGGAAGCTTAGCAACTGTGCAAAATATTACTGCATAATTGCTCAGCTTCTAAAGTGTGTTTTCATAATTAGCGGCTGGTTAGTTAAAATAAATATCATGCTTATTAAATATGAAATACTTTTCTACGTGCCACAGTTGTTTGCAGTGGAAAAGCCACCGAGGAGGACATCTTCCTCAGTTTTTGCTTTTTAAAAACAACAAGAGTTCTGTAGTCATCCCAGAGGTGTCCTCACAGCAACTAGACAGTCACCCTCAGTTTCCTGGAATAGATGGGCCAGTTCAGCCTCACCCATGAGAGCACATGCGCCCTCACGCAGTCTACTTTCCTTCCTACTTGGAACCAGTTCAGGGCATAGCCTGGCAGTCAGCTTCCTTTGTCTCAATGTTGCCTTTGTAGAACTCAGCAGGGAGCAGTGGGGAGACAAAACCAGAATGAGTTGGCTCTGCCTGTCATTGGCTCTGGCTCCACCTATTGTTGGGCTCTCTACCTTCGTAGAATCATAGAGCTGTACAGCTGGATGGGACCACAAAGGTAATCTTGTCCAATTCCGTGCAATGGAAGAATAGTTTGCCCAACATGGGACATGTACCCACGGCCCTGATATTAAGAGTCCCATGCTCTACTGACTGAGCTACTCTCCTTCCACCCCACCAGGCCCAATGGGCACTAGGCTGCACTGGGATGGTCAGGGGATATATTTCTGCCCCTCAGTGGTGGATTATGGAACATGGTGGCTGGGTTGACTGGTTGCTTACATGATGTGTGTGTGTGTGGGGGGGTGTCTTAGAAATCTGATAGGAGAGTTGTCAGTGTGCATGCCATTCCACAATTATAATTTTGAAGCAGGATGTGGCATTCTGGAAGATGTGTGACAACACCAGAACATATTCACATACATATTTGGTGGTCATGCCAATCCAGGTCAACAGCTCTTAGTTATACATACATACAATCACCTTGAACCAAATACCATTCTGCTGGGGTACTTAGAAGAAAATAATATCCCTTGTACACAGCTGGAATTAGTATTTTTTAAATAAAAGCTGCCCAATTCCAACTGCTTCGCAGTGGAAATGCCTCCATGTGCCGCTTCTTGAGGCAGGAATGGGAAAACTGTTGCCTTCTAGGAGTTGTTGTATTCCCAACTCACAACAACCCAAGACTGGCATGCTCAATGGTCAGGGGTGATGGGAGCTGTAGTCCAACCGCATCTGGAAGGTCACAAGTATGCCATTCATATAATAATAATAAGCATTTTGAAAGAAGCATGGAAATTGTTTACAATGGGCAAAAATGTTTATCCAAATTAGAGCTGCTGGTCTTCTTTGCACCCTCACGTTAAGTACGATTTCTTGATGAAAGAAAGGTTCTTATTTTTGGTATGTGTTGAGTCTAAAAACTGGATGTGTGAAAGTCACCCAGTCCCATATATCAGGGCTGGGGAACCTTTGGTCTTCCGGAAGTTGTTGGACTACAACTCCCATCTTCCCTGATCACTCCCCATTCTGACGGGGGCTGATGAGATTTGGAGTCTGACAATATCTGAAGCGCAACTATCTTTCCATTGGATATTCATGTGATTAATTTGATCTCTGAAAAGAGAATATGTATATGAAAATGGGTGGCTCTGTCTGAAATGAAAGATGGGTAAAAGTAATGCTGGTTAGTGCATTGGTCTATTGTAGTGGAAAAAAAGTTTTTTAAAAAGGTCTCCTTCCTTCTGGTCAGCTAGTGTCAATAATAAGATTCAAATATTGTGGTTTTGTGCCAACATATATCTTTCCAGGCCATACAAGTCTGTGTGTATCGTTGCTGGAACAGAATTCCAGAATGCTAAATCTTGGAGAACGACCGCTCTTGCAATTCACACTAACAAAATGTAGTGGTGGCATCTGGGCAGGACTTTGGGGCAGATGTCCAGGGCCCACTAAGCAGAAAGAGCAGGAGGCCACCCCAAAGCAGCAGGGCTGGCTTGCCACATTTTAAAGTAACACACATTGCCATCTAAATGGTCTGGGTGGGTATCTGTAAGACCACTTGAAATGAGTCCACTTTTCTATCTAAGAAGACAATCAGGGTGTGTTTGGCCCATTGAGTCCAGAAGTTCCACCATAAGACATTTAAGCCTGGAGTCTAAAGTCACCTAATTTTTCCACTAGCAAAATGTTAGCCTGTTAACACTGAAAGGCAAAACATAGGGGCGTGATGAGGAGTCACTGGATTTTCCAGAGATTGGGACCAGAAATGCAGACTTTCTAATAAATAGCAGGCTGAAACGGTACCCCACTCTACTCCTGCCATATTCTGCTGCATGTTTAGGCTGAGGAGGGGCACTTACACATCACCCCAAAAAGGATAAAAGGGGTGACAAAGATATGCATAAAATTGGTCCATCCTAACTGATATGCCTGGATGCAAATTTAGAAGTTAAATTACTATGATTTAATTAGAAGGACAACGGGACGCGGGTGGTTAAACCACAGAGCCTAGGGCTTGCCGATCAGAAGGTCGGCGGCTTGAATCCCCACGACGGGGTGAGCTCCCGTTGCTCGGTCCCTGCTCCTGCCAACCTAGCAGTTCGAAAGCATGCCAAAAAGTGCAAGTAGATAAATAGGTACCGCTCTGGCGGGAAGGTAAACGGCATTTCCGTGCGCTGCTCTGGTTCGCCAGAAGCGGCTTAGTTATGCTGGCCACATGACCCGGAAGCTGTACGCCGGCTCCCTCAGCCAATAAAGCGAGATGAGCGCCGCAACCCTAGAGTCGGTCACGACTGGACCTAATGGTCAGGGATCCCTTTACCTTTAATTAGAAGGACAACACATCTCTTCCTAGTGGGAAAGACTGTGACCGGGTGGCAGTTCTGCCTCCTCAGCCTCTTCATCTATTTGATTGTTTGATTATTTGATTGTTGTTAGCTGCCCTGAGCCTGGCTTTGGCTGGGGAGGGCGGGATATAAATAAAATTTATTATTATTATTATTATTATTATTATTATTCAGGTGCTCATTGTTGATGGACAACTACAAGGGCTCTCCTGCTCTCTCCACATTTGGCTCTTCATCTTTGGACTCGTGGCCTGACGCGCAGCGTAAATTAATAATGCAGAGTTTTAAAGAATAAGAGCTTTACTGAGTTAAAATAAACTTCTTCATAAACAACATGGTTCCAAACAGTTTGACTGAGATTACACACTGCTCACAACTGAGGCAGACTGACTGAAATCTTACAGAGAACACAGAGAGAAAATGGCTGCCAAGTCACATGTCAGAGTGACTCAACAGTTAGCAGTTAGGCCTGAATAACTTTAGTAGGCCCAAATTGAAGGACCACACATATCTGCTATTTGGGTCCCTGAAGCACAGATTCACACAAAGCGGCAAAACGCTCTTGCAGGTTATTAACAGGATTTTTATTTGAAGTGCATATGCAGAACAAAGGCACAGGGCGATCAGTACGCAACCTGTACACAGTAGTCAGGGTGCGCCCCTTTATATAGATTTGCAAAATAGAATGCCACCTGATCTCTTGTAGGTCACCTGATTTCTTGTAAGTCACCTGATTTCTGGGAAATCGAAACTTATAATAAGTTCCTATATTACCATATAAGGTCTTGGTCTTCTCTCCCTCCTTCCTGCAACCTCCCTCATCCTGGTGTGACAATAAATCCTTGTTCTTTATCTCTATCTGCCCAGGCTAGACATTCTGAGGGGCCCATTTGCAATGTAACATTTAAGCATGTCCTTCAATAATAGAACAATTATATTGTAATATGCTCCTTCAAAATGACTGTGCAATCCCAGCACTTCCCAGCCTGCTTTGCTGCTTCTGCTCTCATGTGTCTTTGACACATGACAGGGCTGGCCTTGCCTTATGGGTATAAGGCAAGGTGAACCGATCACCTTGAGCTGCAGGATTCACAGAGGCAGCAGATCTGGCCTCCAAAAAATGCCTTGCCTGCTGCTGCTGCTGCACTAGCAGAAATGGCTGTGGCACACTCCTTGGAGGCTGGATCTGCCACCTCCTTGGCAGCCTCCTCACTGCTGCCTCTACAGTGGCCTGTTGGCAAATAGGAGGTGCTGCTGGTATCCCCACACCCTAATAATAATAATAATTTATTTATACCCCACCCATCTGGCTGGGCTTCCCCAGCCACTCTGGGCGGCTTCCAAAAAAATATTAAAATACTGTAATATATCTGCCCTCTGCAGACTCCTGGCTGTGCTCCTGCCTGATGTGATTCAGAGTGGGACCCTTCCCTCCCTGCAGCAGCCTCAGAATCTCACTTCAGCTGCCGAATACGGTTGATTTGACACCCCTTGTTCCTGATGGAGATCTCGCTCACCCCTCCTTCCCTGGCAGGGGAGAAGAGCGCCATTTTGTGGTTTGCCCCCGGTGCAAAAATGTCTCGATTCAAACAAGAGGACTGTCCTCCAGCAGCCCATCAAATGAAGGGCTGCCCAGTGCCTATGTTAGCCTTTCTCAGAGTAGGCCCAGGGAGATTCATTGAGCATGACTAACTTAAGCCCCTTTTATTCAATAGGTTTACTTTGAGTATTACTTGGGCACAGCCTTCTCTCTGAACTTTATCTTAGAAATAGGAAGGATTTATAGGCCATAACCAGCACTTTGAATTGTGCCTGGAAATGGATCAGTTGTTTTATCAGGGGTGTAACATAATCCCTGTAACTGGCCTCAGTCAGCAATCCGGTGGGAGCATTCTGGACCAGCTGAAGCTTCTGAACACTTTTCCAAGGCAGCTCCACGTAGAGTGTATTGCAGTAGTCCAACTATGATGTAACAAAGGCATGTGCATCCCAGCTCTAGGTCTGGGAAAGACTCCTGCCTGAAACCCTGGAAAGCTGCTGCCAGCCAGTGCAGGCAGTACTGAACTAGATGGACAACATGGTTGGCATAAGGCAGCTTCCTATGTTCCTCTTCTGTTTTGCCCTTTGTCTCCCTTGCTTGCCTTGCAGAGGAAGGTTGCTAGAAACTCATCAGCTGAGTGGATAGCTGTCTGATGTTTTCTAAAGCTTCAGCAAATATATGTGTGTGCGTTTTGTGTTTAAACCAGAAAGATATATTTAAAAAAAAGCGAGAGCCCAACACACAACCTTTCTAATGGCAGCATGTTTAATACCTCCAAGGAGGAAGCTTGATAGGAACACAAAAGCAAGCTTGCTTCCAAAGTGTAACCAATATTTGCACATTGCAGTGACTAATTCCCTACCCCGCACTGCAGAACAATAGGCATAATAGCAAAGTACATTAATGCAAAGCGGGCTCGTCTGGTGCCTTGGTTATTTGACACATAAATAAGGAGAGAAGGTGGGGGGAGATTTTTTTATCTACCTGTATAACTATTCTCTAAACAGCAGGCTGCGAATGCAGCTCAGAAAATGCTGACCCAGGCCTGCTTGTACCCCTCCTGCGCTGGGTTGGCACATGATTTGCAGAACTGCAGGAGTTCTATCACTGACCTCATTAGCAGTGCATTTCCTGCCTTGTTAGCATCATATTTGTATAATTTACAGCACCTTGGTTTTTATGGAATGTGTTCCTTGTAGAGTGTAATGGCAGTAATATATTTAACCTCTTCTATTTAGGAATGCTGCTGCTGCTGAAGGCAGCCCGCAGATATAAAAGGGACTTTCCCCCCTCCCTTTCTCTCTTCTTCCCCGCATGCACTCTCTGTCCTCCCCATCCATTTAGATGCTATATATCCAAATATATGTGCAACCTGTAAAATGTGCATAAAAGGAGACGCAGAAGCGGTGCTGGGGGAAGGAGAGTTGCTGCTGAAGCCTTCCCAAGGTCAAGCCATTAAATCCAGACCATGTCAGGGTTAGAAAGCCATCCTTCGACTGCATAAGAGAAAGACTGCATGGGACCATACGAAGCAGCCTCATGAAAAGATTGGACCTTTTGCCCATCTGACACAGGAGCATAGAATGCTGCCTTGCACCAAGTCAGATCATTGGCCTATCTAGCTTTGTATAGTCTACTCTGACTGGCAGCAGCTCCCTAGGATTCCAGACGGGATTCTACCAGCTCTGTGGAGAGATGTCAGGGATTAAACATGGGATCTTCTATATGCAAAGTAGATGCTCCACCACTTAGCTATGGCCCTTCCTCCCTGCTGGGAGTTCTAGATGAAATATGGATATAAAATTTACAGCATGCTATGGTTTAAGACAGGCTTCCTCAACCTCGGCCCTCCAGATGTTTTGAGACTACAATTCCCATCATCCCTGACAACTGGTCCTGCTAGCTAGTTGTATGGGAGTTGTAGGCCAAAAACATCTGGAGGGCTGAGGTTGAGGAAGCCTGGACTTAAGATTAGAAAATACAGCCTCGGCCAAGAATACCTGAAGGAGCGTCTCCACCCCCATCGTTCTGCCCGGATGCTGAGGTCCAGCGCCGAGGGCCTTCCGGCAGTTCCCTCATTGTGAGAAGCAAAGCTACAGGGAACCAGGCAGAGGGCCTTCTCGGTAATGGCACCCGCCCTGTGGAACGCCCTCCCATCAGATGTCAAAGAGATAAACAACTACCTGACATTCAGAAGACATCTTAAGGCAGCCCTGTTCAGGGAAGTTTTTAATGTGTGACATTTTAGTGTTTTTGGTCTCTGTGGTCTCTGTAGAAGCCGCCCAGAGTGGCTGGGGAAACCAAGCTGGGGAATGGATGAAATCTTTGGACAACTTAGAGAACGTAACATACATGGAAGTGGATGCTGTGATGGGAATACCTATCCCCAAAAAAGAGAACCCCGAAAGAGAAACATAGAAAAGGCCCAAAAGGAAGCCCCCAAAGTAGAGAAAGGGGGCCTCCTCCAAGGAATCTGAGGGAACAAAATCATCTTGGTGGAAAGACCCAAAAAAATCCCCAAAACTTCTTTCGCCCAGTCCCCCCTCCCCAGCGCCTCTCCCTGCCCAAGCCATCAGCCCCATGTCGGTGGAGGCTGGCACCCTTCTCCCTGCCCACCCATGTGGATTGCCGCAAGCCCTTAACATCTGGCTTGCATCCACATGGGTGAGCACCCCCCTCTCACCCTTCCCTCCCCACCCGCTGGAGACCCCTGTCTAGCATTTCTGGCTGGGGTCCCCCCCTACCTGCCCCGTCACCTTTGCCCCCCTCCCAACCCTCCATACACCCAGCCCCCTGAGGTAGCCCCTCCAGCCCACCCCATCCAACCCCAGCCCATCAGAAACACAGAAACACCGAGCGAAATCACTGAACAGAAGCAATTCAGAGCTGACCGTTCTGGCTAGAGCACTGTGTTCCATCCATCGCCTCCACATCGGCATCGGAACCATGGCTTCACTTGTGCCTCTACCACCGTTTGCACCAGCCTCTGAATCATGGGACTCCTACCTCGCTCGGTTCGACTGCTACCTCCAAGCCAACGAGCTGACGGAAGTATCACAGGAGCGTAAGCGGGGCCTATTACTCAGCCTCTGTGGGCCTGAGGTGTTCGAGACGGCCCGAGCATTGGTTGCGCCTGTAGCAGTCCAGGCAACACCGTGGGACACGATTCAAGAGAAGCTCCGCAACCACTACGCGCCAAAGCCGTCCAAGATTGCTGCCCGCCATGCGTTCTTCCACCAGAACTAGGCAGAGGGGGAGTCAATTAACAACTACACCGCCGCCCTCCAACAGGTTGCAATGCACTGCGAGTTCCGAGACTTAGACGGTGCCCTGATGGATCAAATCGTTTGCGGGGTCCGGGACATTTGTCTGCAACGGTGTCTCCTCGCCAAGCCAGACCTCACACTGCAGAAAGCTATTGAGAAGGCCCTGGCCTCGGAAGCTGCTGAAAGCTCCGCCCAGGAGATCCGCAAGGCCAGCAGCCCGCGTCTTGCTAGGAAGCCAGTCCCAGTGCATCATGAAGAGGCCAGCAGTGATGAGGCATCCTCCAGTGAAGACGATGATGTGCACTAGACAAAGCGGGAGTGCAGGAAGTTCCAAAAGAAGTCCAAGGGCCAATCGGAATGTTCTGGCTGCGGAGGCAACCATTCCCGTGCCAAGTGTTGATTCAGAGACGCCATCTGTTGGAAGTGTTCCAGAAGGGGCCACATCGCTAAGGTCTGCCAATCGGCTCCGTCTGACACGCCCCCCTTCACCGACTCGCAAATCCAAGTCTTCACTCCAGTCTGCCAAGGAAAGCTGTTTCGCTCTCACCAACTGCCACTGCCTGTCTGGGACCACAATTGGCCAAACTGACTCGCCTACGCGACGCAAGCTGAACGTCACTGTGCTCACTGAAGGAGCTCCATGTGACATGGAGATCGACACTGGGTCTGCCCTGTCCATCGTGTCTTGGAGCACCATCAAAAGACTGGTACCCAGAGTGTCCAAAAGGCAACTCGACTCTCACCGCGTACATGTGGTAGGTGTTGGCTGGTTCCGGATCACCATCAAGGATTTTTCGAGCCTGCTCCGACTGGTGGTGGTCGAAGGTCAGCGGCCAAGCCTCCTAGGGCTAGACTGGTCTGATGCCCTCAGCCTGGAAGTCACCGGCATCAACTGCATCTCTAACGCAGAGCCTGAGGGTCTGGTCAAAGACTTTGCCGAGGTTTTGGATGGCACTTTGGGTCAATATACAGGTATGCCCATCTCCTTTAGCCTTGATCCACAAGTCGCCCCCATCAAGCTAAAGCCACGCTGGGTTCCCTTTGTTCTCAAGGCTAAGGTGGACGAACAACTGGACAAGCTGATCGCCCAAGGAGTTTTGGAGCCGGTTGACCACGCCAAGTGGGAAACCCCACCAGGTTCCCTGGTGGTGTGGGCCCCCGCAGATTTCCACCATTGTTTGTTAATCGGGTTAAAACATTAGCAGGGTGATTGTAAATTCAGTAGTGTAAAGTATGCTAGATATAGTGGGAAGGGAGAAATGGGAATATATGGGGAAATTAAAACAGGCAATCTTAATGGAGAAAGATATAGAACCATGGAAGGGGGAAGGGAAGTCAAGGAAAGAATGTACGGTTGTATTCAATGAAATGTAAAAGACTCAAATGAAGGCCTAAAAGATACCTTGTCATTGTGTCCTTGCAGGTGTTCCCAAGGCAGAGTTATGGCTCTGTGGATTTTGACCAGGACTGGGATTCTTGGAAGAGAGCTTTTGGAAGCCAGCTGATGGAATTCTGGCTGGGAAATGACCACCTTCACCTGCTGAGCTCCTTGGGTAATTGGCTCTCCTTCTTCCTTCAGGTCCTTCTGCTCTGACCACCGCTTTCTATTTCACTGCCATCTCCTTGGTCCTCTCCTTGGGAAGGTGGGAGAGGCAGTGTGGTGTGGGACAGTTAGAGTGTTGGACTAGACGCAGAGAGGCCAGGGTTCAAATCTCGTGGCAAGACAGTGGTGCAAGAGTCACCTAGTGCACATGTGAGAAGCTTCCTGCTGGACTGGGACTGTGTCTAGGTCTCCTTCCATAGCCATCCTCCACTCCCGTCTAGGGAGGAAGGGTGGCTGTGGCGTGGAATCGCAGGGCTGGGGAGAAGCAGCAGGCAGTGTGTCTCCCCCCAGACTTGTGAAAGTGTTTGGGCCAGCTGAAGTAGGCAAGGAGGGTGAGGCCCTTCAGGGGTGGGGGCAGGGGTGGGGAGGATGGTTTTTTGTGTGACAACCTTTAAAGACCATTTTAACCTTCTGTGTCACACTTTGCGGGGGGGGGGGTATTGCAGCTGCTGCTGCTGCTTTGGAATCTGCAACCCAAGGTGTTGCCACAAGCCTCTCCCCCCCCTTTTTTTTTACTACAAAGGATAATAGACCTTCGGTGACTCTGTTGCACCCCCTGGTGATGTCATTGGGAGTGCAACATGGTCCAGCTTCCCCCTCCCTCCCTTACAGTTCGAAGTGACTAAACCAGCCTCCCTGGCCATTATATAGGTGATGCTGTAGCAGAGGAAAAATGAGGTCAACAGTTTCCTTTGCCTCCATGGTGTGGAGGCTTTTCCCCTCTGTTGCCTTACAAATTGGCAATGGAGGGATTGGCACATAGGTGCAAAGTTGGTCTGACTTTGACTGGAGTTTGTTCTCTTCCTCACAGGCGATTCGCTTTCCTATGATGCCTTTCTCAGCTAAGGACAGACAGCAGGAGCCCAAGAACCGGAAATGGGCAGAGGTGTCTGGTGCGACGACGACTGCCACCTCTACAACGCCCACCCCTCCTTTGCAGATGGGCTGAACTGTGAAAGTGGCCAAGAGTACCACGATTGCTCCAGGCACTCAGAAATGACATTCAGGAGCATGTCATCCCCTGGCTCGATGTTTTCCTTTCCTCCGGAGGCTCTGTGTGTCTTTCATCCCCTGATGGGGTGGACTGGAGGTTTGACTTCAGGGTGGTTTTTTTAGGCCTTTCCTCCAAGGTGATTTTGTTCCCTCGGATGCCCCCTTTCTCTATCTTTTCGGCTTCCTTTTAGGTCTCGTAGGATTTTATCTTTGGGGGGTTCTTTTTATTGGGGTTAGGTGTGCCAGGTCTCCCCTATCTACCTTCCCACGGGCAGGACAGCTTTGTCTGAACAGGTTCCAGGGTCCTTCTCACTTTGCTTCATTTCTTTTCAAAAATATATATATTTGTCATTAAAGAATTATTAGTTTTGAAACATATGTGCATTGTCTCATTTTTCAAGTTGCGGTTTCCACAGATCAGCTTCATTTGTTGTGAGACATTAGTGTTACATACAGTGTTAGGTTAGGAAGAAAAAGGGGCAAGAGGGGGTGGCAGTGGTGAGTGGGGTGGGGTGGGAATGCTTCTCTTCTTCTACGTAGTGTATGTGGGGGGCATTTGTGCCAGTGTCACTTGTGTGGGTTTTCTTACTATAAAAAAGTATAAATCTAAATCAAACAAGTGTTGGAAATGTAAAGAGAAAGAAGGTTCTTTTTAGCATATGTGGTGGTCTTGTAGTAAGGTTAAAGCTTATGGGGAAATGATATATAATGAATTGAAAAGGATGTTCAAAATAACCTTTGTAAAAAATAAAATAAAAACAAGAAGCTTTTCCTTGGGGAATTATAGGGACAGCACTACGTAAACTGTATAGAAATTTATTTATGTATGCTACTACAGCAGCAAGAATGCTACTCACCCCAAAATGGAAAGAAGCGAAGTCCCAGCAAAGGAAGAATGGATACAAAAACTTAATGGAATATGCAGAAATGGTGAAACTTACTGGAAGAATAAGAAATCAAGATAACAAACTTTTTATTAAAAAATGGAAATGGTTTATTGAATATTTACAGATAAATTGTAAACAGATAAAAACACTGCCAGGATTATTGTAATAACCTGCAGTTTCATAAGAATATATATTTAAAGAAGATGAATAAATGAGCAAATTAAGTTAATTAGGATATGCAGAAGATATTAAAAATAAATATAAGGAACGGCAGAAAGAGGGGGAAGGAAGTCAAGTTTTAGAAATGTCAAAATGATTGTACAATCAGTGAAATGTATAAACTTGAAAAGTAAGTATAAATATTTTTTTTTAAAAAAAGAATGAACAAGGTTGATTACCTGTTGTTGCAAAGGTTGCAAGCCACCCCAATCTCTGCCAAGTGGAAGCAATATTCCAGGTGGTTCCAGGAGGTGCTCACATAGGGCTGTGCTTTGGGTGGGAAAGCAAGGTACAGCAGAGACCAGTGGCTTTAAGAAATATGGTTTATTGTCTGCACATGAATTTACACCTGGGTCTACTTTGGAGAGAGGGGCTTGTTCCCTCAGCAGTGCAACTATCTCCGTGCCTCTGTACCAGCCTGCTAAGATGGTTCTGGCCTTCAGAGTAGCTCATGGAGGTCTGCCTGCTTCCTTTCCACTTCCTCAGCCCCCCTGCTCTAAGTAACTCCTCCCCATCTGTCTGCTTGCCACCCCCCATCCAGTCCTTTTTTTAAAAAGGACAACATTTTTCCTGTGTGACATCATGCCCCCGTCACCTTGACAACCTCCTTCCCTCACTGGCAGAACCTCCTGCCTGGTTCACGGTTTCCATTGATGGGTTAATGACTTGTTTCCAGCACCTTTTGTTTCTCTTAAGGCAGGGTGTTCAAACTTTTTGCAAAGAGGGCCAGATTTGATGAATTGAAGGGCCGTGAGGGCCGACCAAAGTTGTTGACCTTTTTTTTTATTTGATGTTGTTGAGGGTTTTTTAAAAGGATTTTACCACAGGAAATTAACTGCCAGATTAAACTAACTGGCGGAGCAGATTAGACCCCCAAAATGCACTTTGGACATACCTGTCTTAAGGACTTCTATCCCAGGTGAGGCCCTGGTCTGGAAAAGAAGCTTAGCCTGTATTTTTTGACTGTCCTGGCATCTCCCCTTCCATACCCCAAATATTTCTAAATCCTACCATTTATTAATAGCTTGCTCACTCTAGCCATTTGGGGTGCCCTTGCACCTCCAAACTTTGTTACTGCAGATCTGTAGCAATATTTCCAGATTTCACTTATGGCAGTTGCAAAGCTAAATTGCTCATTGTCTGCCAGTAAATGAATGGTGGGCAGCACAATCCTAATGAGGGGCTGGGGAGACGCAGAGTGAGGGACCCTCCACCATATTGGAAGCCCTGCTAGTTCTCTAAAACCAGGGCAGAAGTTGGGGACAGGTTTTCTTCTAGTTATGTCACTTCCAGGTTGCCATAGTGAGGAGACTGAGGACAGGGCTGACCCAAGACATTTTGGCAACCGAGGCTAAGCACAAAAATGGCTTAAATTCCCTGGCCAGGGAAGAATGGGTGAGTGAAGATCTACATCAGGAACAAAGGAGGAATAAAGATCTACATCAGGAACATGAGTGGAAGTCCAGCAGTGCCTCCTACTCACCAAGAGGGTGATGGAGAAGTGGCATTGTGGGGAGGGGGCTGCTGAGGAGCCGGCAGATCCAGCCTTCAAGGAGCATGCTGCCTTGTCTTGCTTCATGGGTGGGCTGGTCTTGCCTGAGAAGGGGCAGATGGATCAAAAGTCATTGGTGACCCATCAATTCCTTAATCCAAGTTGTTTATAAATAATTGAACAACAACAGGCCCATGACAGAACCCTGTGCCACACCACACTTGTGTCACTTTTTTCCAGGATGATGAGGAACCATTAGTCAGCACTGTTTGGGTTCTGTCAGTCACCCAGCTGCAAAGCCACCTTACAGTTACCTCATCCAGCCCACATTTTACCAGCTTCTCTGCAAGAATATCATGGGGGACTTACTGAAATCAAGATACTTTACATCCACAGCATTACCCTGATCCACCAAGGTTGTAACTCCATCAAAAGGGAAGGGAAGGAAGGAAGGAAGGAAGGAAGATGAGATTCAGCTAGCATGACTTGTTTTTGAGAATCCCATGCTGGGTCTTAGTAATCACAGCATCTTTTTCTAAGTACTCACAGACCAACTGTTTACTTATCTGTTTTAGGACCTTTCCTGGTGTCAAGGTCAAGGTCACCAGTCCATATTTATAAATGTCTTGGATGAAGGATCAAAATGGGTAGCTAATGCTTCAGAAGTGAACATCAGGATTCAATATGAGCTTAACAGAGTGGAGAACTAGGCCAAAACTAACCAAGTGAATTTCAGCAGGGACAAATGTAAGGTTCTCCATTTAGGCTTAGGTTTTTAAGTCGAAGTTGGATGGTCATCTGTCATGGATGCTTTAAGTAAGATTCCTGCATTTATGGGGGTTGGACTAGATGAGCCTTAGTGTCCCTTCCAGGTCTACAATTCTATGATTCCATGTAGCACCCCTTCTCATACTTTCCAAATTCATACCGAGTGGAAGCATGGGTGGGTTTGCCAATATGTTGGGGTTGACAGAAGCAACTCCACTCTTCCTTCTCAAGGCCAAAGAGGTGTTCCTATTGGAAGCAAGGCAGCCCTTCATAAATACTAAAGCCCAGCTGCAACATTCTCTAAGATTTTAGAGCTTTACCAGTTGAGCCGCAGTGGGATTCCCCATTCCAGCTCAAGGGCTATCTGAGAAACCATACACTAATGGATACTGCATAAACATGGATTCTGAACGCTGCTGGGCAAACCCCTTGATTTCCCTGAGCTACACCTGTAAAACAGCAGCTGCCTTCTCCTGCCTTTCGAAAGGTTCTTCTGTGTGTGCATGTGTTTGTGTGTGTGTGTGCATCTCCTTGGGAGCTGTTAAGAAACACTGAGGCAATGCAGCGTGTTATACCTGCAGATCACAGAGCTGTTTCTAGCTTGCATCAGCACAAACGCGAGACGTGCAAAACAGCTATCTCATATTTGCTGACAGTTCTATATTCAGAAGGCTCCACCCCATAAACTGGAAGATGGTCTCCTGTCTCCCACTGGCAACAACAAAGCCAGTGTAAGGTGTGTAATGTTGATGTCTGAATTCATTTGAATCTAATTTTGAATGTCTACACAAAAAAAGGGGGAGGGGACTTCGTAATGATACATTTAAAAGTACAAGGACCCTCCAGTCTGTTTTTCATTTTTGTTTTTCACAGGTGTATTCTGCAAAATGCCATGAATGCAATAATAGAATATTAGTGGTGGATTTATACTGGACTGTCCACAAGTCAGTCCGGGATGCTTCCTGATGTTATTGCACTTTTGTCATTTGGAGGGGCACTTTTGCAGTATAACACAGCAAGCGTGGACCCCCCCCCCCAAAAAAAGAGGTATAAAAAGCAGGAGATGCACTGGTTGGAAATGTCCAAAAAACGCTGCAGGGGCCAACTGTGTTGAAAGCAGGTTTTTATATAACCACCCTGACACCATCATGGGCACAAATCATGATGAATACACTGTGAAAACCATCTGGGGTGGGGCAAGAATGCCCTGTTAACAAGTTGGAATCATAGTTGATTAGAATCATAAAATTGGAAGCTCACCTCTTGGGGGTAATCTTACTTATTATCTTAACTTGCAGAAGAGGACTTGCACAGAGGGTTCACCAAGATCAGCTCTTGCAATATTATCTAGGGCTGCACACCAGATTTGGCTGAAGCCCGAGGAGAACTGCATATACAGTGGTACCTCGGGTTACAGACGCTTCAGGTTACAGACGCTTCAGGTTACAGACTCCACTAACCCGGAAATAGTACCTCGGGTTAAGAACTTTGCTTCAGGATGAGAACAGAAATGGCGCGGTGGTGGTGCGGTGGCAGCGGGAGACCCCATTAGCTAAAGTGGTACCTCAGGTTAAGAACAGTTTCAGGTTAGGAACGGACCTCCAGAATGAATTAAGTTCTTAATCTGAGGTACCACTGTATTCAGAGGACCCCAGGTCTCAGATGAGTCACGTGCACACAGCCCCAGATTGCTGCGAGTTGGGTTGTATTGGTCAAAAGCCACCTGTGGCTCTCAGGGGTGTGGCATCAAGCGGGAAAGAGAGGCTGGCAGCATGTGATAAAGGTCAAGACTTGCCTCACTGGCAACTGTGTCTTCCCACGTCTCTCCTTTTTGCTTGACACCTCACCCTGCAGGATCAGGCATCACTCCAGTGGAGTGTAAAGCAGCACATGCACAGGATTGGACCATCTCACTTAACAATAGCTAAGCAGGAGGATCCAGTCCTGCGAGGTGCTGTGCATCCCTGCCTTTTAAAATGGTTTTGATGGGTGAAAAGAAAAAATATTT